CGCAAGTCGCCCTCTTGATCAACCTCTGTGGGGTCGCTGCTGCACAGGTCAGCGCTCTGGCTGGGCATAGACTTTGGTTCCGTCCCCGGGTGTCGGGCGGCAGAAACCTGAAGCAGAGCCTGTGCATCCTGATCTCCAGCTTCCCCATTTTCTGGTAGCCTCGGGGCTTCCTGCAAGAGCCCCTTGACAAAGTCAGGTGCTGTAGCAGCCTCCGGCATCTCGGCTAGCGGGACTGAGTCGTGGAGGTAGAGGCCGAAAGGGCCTGGGGGAAGCCGGTAGTAGGGACAATCATGAATGCACATTGCAACCATGCGATCGACTGGCATTAAAGCGGGGAAGGGCAGAGTGCAGATTCTGCCTTGTGCAGGTCGCAAGTCAACCGGTGTGACCCATGCTCCTGCCGGGTCCTCTCGTGTACGAACGGCGACCTGTATGGGGGGTAAACCCGGGAGCCGGTCTTGCATGAACCGGACACTGAGCACTCTGGGCCTTGAGCCCAGAATGTCCGCCACTATGTCGTTTAGTGTGGAACCTACGGGGAGTGCCTTCGTTTCCACATGGCAGTCTGTGGCAAAAATTGCGTAACGATTCCGATGGGAATCGTCAGTGACTGCTCCGGCAGCACGGCATGCGTTAGCCCACCTAAAGGACGCGATGGCCGCGCTTCTTAGTTCTGGGCGGTCCAAGTGTTCTGGAAACACTGAAACCCTGGCCGCCAGCTGCATGCGCACCTGTGAGTAGCCTCCGGGGTGCGGCGAACGCACCGCAAACAGTTCTGCTATGTCCCCGGCGGGGCGAGGTTCGGCCAAGGCTCGACAGATACCGTCCTTGAAGCCGGCGAGGAGTGGCAGTGAGGCAGGTGGGTCAATGGTGCCGCAGGAGGGAACATTAGCCGTGCTCGCCCAGATTGGCGGCACAGGCTGTAGCATGGCCTGAACAACCTCCGAGGGGTCGGAGTGAGGAGGAAGGACATGCGCCGTGCTAGCCCAAAGTGGCTGCACAAGCTGTGATGAGGCAGGCTGGGAAGGAAATCTTGCCGTGGTCCCCCATGGTAGAGGGTGAGGTTCGGCCAAGGCTCGACAGGAACCGTCCTTGCAGCCGGTGAGGATTGCATTGCCTGCATCCCGACCAATGAGGAATGGTCGGGAAGCCAACACCTTGTTGGCCTGTCTCCGCCATCCGTTGGTGTGATTGGGCCCCGTGCGGTCGCAGAACCCTGCGCGGAGAGGCAGGGCATGGTAGGCCCGATGTAAGCAACTGGCAAGAGTCCACTGTACAGGTTTTTGGAAAATGGCTGTACAAGTCGCCCCGCTCACCTGTAAATCAACGTGGGGGCGAGTTGGCTGCCCGCCTGTCAATCCGCTCAGTCCAGCACTTCCATCCGCAACACCCGGCAAGTCCCACATGCGCTCGGGAGGGGTCTGGAAGGCTGAACCCAGCGTATCGACAGAAAGACGCCTGGGCCCATCCGAGGTAAGGCTGTCCTTCAGTTCGTCCTCGGAGATCTCGTCCAGCAGTGGCGACCAAGGCGATGTGGCCTCTGTCGCCCCAGTGGCATCGTCCGGTCGCTCGATCTCAAACACGCGCGAGCAGACTGGCCTGTCTAGTGAGAGCAGAGACACTTCCGATTGCAAGCAAAGTGCCAAAGCTGCCGCCCACCATCTGCCAACAAAATTGTGCTCACCACAGACCGAAGTGTACGATCCGTGGGAATGGGCGATCGGCTCAGTAAGGTCCAAGTGGCATCCTACTGAGCCCCACGAAAAGGCGGCCTTTCTCCGTCGCCTTTGTCGTGCTGCTCCTCCTTGATTGCTGTGTTGCCGCCCCCTGCCGCTGTTTTGGCTGTCTGCGCCATGGTGGCGTCGAGCTCCTCCTTGCTGGGCGGCTTGCTCTCTCGGCGGCGTCGAGGCGTACGCTCTCTGTACTCCTCCTCCTGCACTGAGGCCGCTGCTGCGGCTGCCCCCAGTGCATCCATCAGCGCCGTCTCCTGTTGCAGGCTGCGCTCCACCGCTAGGGCGCGGCTTGCTTCCGTCGCAGCCGCATCGTCCACCGCCATTTCTTCCTCCGAGGAAACTTCCACCGTGCTTGCAGGCATTCCCGACTGTCGCTGTAGGGCCTTCGAGGTCGATTGCAGCACTTCCTGCCATTTCTCCTCGGAAACAGCCATCTGTTGCATAGCCTCGGTTTTCTGGGCCAGTTGAGTTTGTAAGAGCTCTGTCAACTGCTTCAGGTAGGCACTCCATTCTGCCACAAATGCACTGCGGGCCCGCTGGACCCCCGCAAGTTCTTTGCGAGCTTGTCCCTGCTGGTGTACCAGGCGGTGTAGTTGTCGCGCCTGTTGTCGATGATCCATGTCCACCTGAGTTTCCAGTAGTTCCTTGACCTCGTCCGGCAGGGAGTCCTTCTTGGACGCCAGTGCTTGTAGAAGATCCTGCACTCCTTGTGGTAGGCGATCTTGCCCCTCGGAACTTGCCGCCGCACTGGGAACGGCAGGCTTGGGGACATTCGGGGCTTGCGGTAGCTCCTTGAGGAGCTGGCTTTTGCTTGCCACTGGCAATTGAATGCCAGCTGTCTCCGCTGTAGGAGGCACCGATGGTGCCGCGCTGGTATCTTTGCCCTGTCCCTTGCCCCTTTGTCTCGGGGAGCGGGGTCGGTTGCCATGGCCTTTCCCGTTCCATGGCTCCTGCCCTTTGCCCCGGCTTCTGGGAGATTTTCCTCCTCCTCCGCCTTGGTCCGGCTGTCCCCAAGCCGGTTGTCTCGGTCGGGTAGGCTGCTGGCCACCGGCGTACGTAGATTTCTTCCAGTGGCTGCCACAGCTCTGGCAGTACTGCGCGGAGGCCTTGCACATAGCCCCGCACATACATCGCCATGGTTGCGTCATCTCTTCTCGACGTAGGCGTCTGTACGCCTGTTGCACCAACACACTTCGCGTGTGGTGGGTCTCTAGCGCCTGTAGCGCTTTCTGTACGTGGTCCAGCTCGGTCGGAACGCCCGCCAGCCAGGTTCGCAGTACTGTTCGTCCCACAGTACGCCTTTTCCTCGCCCGCCTGTGCCACGCAGCTTCTTGAAAACGAAGTCGACGGGTCCGGGGAGGAATGGTTGGAGACGATGTTGAGGTAACACTGCACACCCCAACAAAATTGATGCACCAGGATGGAAAACCAAGCGAGACTCTTCACGAGGTCGCAGCGCATACACCGGTATGCGTCGCCCAACGCCAAAATTGGCAGATTAAACTGCAGCAATCAGGGAAGGGCGCGTGGTGCTCGTGGTGCAAGTAGAGTGGGCCCCTCCTCAACGCCTATTGGCTCACCAGAGGGCCACACGGGGGTACGTCGGCTAGTGGACCCTGTCGGGAAACTACACTAGAGCCGAGACGCCTACAAGCCGACGTTTAGAGTTTAGGGTTTCGGGATTTAGGGTTTAGGATTTAGGGTTTGGGGGTTCAGGGGTTTAGGGCTCTAGGAGTTTAGGTTTTAGGGTTTAGGGGTTTAGGGTTTAGAGTTTAGGGTTCAGGGGTTTAGGGGGGCCTCGAAGCCCGGCCCAGGTTTGAGCGACTTGAGGAGGTTCAGAGCAGAACCGAGGAGGTCGAAAGGGAAGCGGCTGCGTGGATGTCGAAGCCACATGCGCCTTAGTCCTTTTCCTAGGTAGGCCCTTCTGATACGTCAAGATACTTCATATTTTCTCTTACTGGGCTCAAAGAGGATCTTATTGGCGAATACCAGGACCCTCCTTGCGCCCGCAAATAGGGGTACATGGTCCCAAATAAGGGGCATTTAGGGTCTAATAGAGGGTAGATGGAGGGTCTAGGTAGGTGTTGAAAGGCATCATCAAATAGTTGAACATCCTGGGTAGTATAGTCCTTATCAGGGCAGCGCCGTCGTCGTTTAGTTCCCCTGGGAAGCGGGTGAGGGACCCAAAGAGGACATGAGCATAAGCATTTCATAGAGATATCCCCACATTATTGGGCTTCATCATAAGGGGATGTAAAGGGGATATCCCTGTCCTTGTTTTTGCTGATGTGTTTTTTTGGGGGGCCTAGCAGGAACCACTAGGCATCCCAGCACCGGATCACAGATGTACAGACGATCTCCAGCAGGCAAGAGTTTAACGCTCAAGATCTGCGACGTAGGCGCATACTATAGGGGCCTTAAAAATTAGAATCGGGTTTGGGGGCTCCTTATGATAATTTTAATATAATAAACCCCTAAACCCTGTTGAAATTATTAAGGCCCCTGCATTAAGCATTCGCCCGCAAGCGGCATTGAGTTGAAGTCCCTGGCCCAAATGTGATCCCTGACGGAACCTGGGCATGCAAAGGCTTCAAGGCTTTAGATCTCTGCACCCGAATAAGGAGGTTTGCATAGACAGTACTATTAGTCTGTTCACTGACCGTCCCTGTCTGTGTCTATGATGTAACCCAAACCGAAGTGTGGACTTGACACCTATGCCTCGCAAATAGGGCTTATATAGGGTTTAGGGTAGATACCTTAAAGCACCCAAACGTCAGGGTTCACATCAGTGCAGCCGGCTGGGACGGAGCTCATTGGACAGACTGCTTCAACTGTCAAGTCAGATGTGGGCAAAATCGGGCAGTGCTTCTGTGAGTGGTGTTCAGGGTAGGGCCAGATAACTTCAGGATTTAGGGTTGTTGATTTAGGCTTTCTGCTTGTCGTTCTTTCCTTGCATTTTCTGCTGCTCTCTTTGTCTTGTGTGTGATCTGTTGCGGGCTTTAGTTGATCAGGCCTTGCTATCTGTATCTGCACCTCTTACCGGGTCCTTCTCTCTTTGCCACTTTCCTTGTCCCTACCAACCTTACCTATCCGGGCCTCCTGTTCTCAGAACTGAGAAGAACAGAGAGCCCAATACTCCTCAAGTAGGAGATATCCCACAGCTGTAAACCATAGTAGCTTCTTGTGATAGGGGAAGTCCTATATCGCTAAGTCAAGGAATACTGGATAAATACAGGGTAAGCAGGGTTCTCTTTCAGACTTTGAGAGGCCGGGGCACAGCGACGTGCCTCCAGCGCTTGCGCAGACTGGACCAAGGTTGGTGATGTTGGAGAGTCACAGAGTCAAATTAAGACCTGAATTAGGGCTTAATTACTAAACCTCAAACCTTAAGCCCACAATTCACAAGCCAAACTTTACTAAGGTCTTGATATGTCTTCTTTCTGGTTCAGAAACCTCCAGCCCTGAACCTCAAACCTTCAACCGGCAGGCCTTGACCCCCATGGTTGGACATACTGTCCTGGCAGTCTCTGCCGGGTGTAGGGTATATCGGGTTTAGGGTTTGGGGGTACAGGGTGCATAGGGGCAGAGCGTAGAAGAGGCTCGGGTTGAGGCCCCTGTTATATTCAGTGTTCTTCAGTGGGACATGAATGTTCAAGCGTGCAAATCTCATGCAGAGGCCTGTATTATAGGTTTACCTATGACCCCAAACCCTACAGAATAGTACTTAAAGGATCATGGGACTCAGTAAGTAGGTTCTAATTGGGCTTATAAGTCCCCTAAGTGGGGCTATCCTAATTATAACCTACTTATAACCTTGCTTACTAAGTCCCATGAGCGTTTAAGTAGGTCATGACCCCTTAATTAGAAGGTCCAGCCCCGAAAACAATAGGTTTTGGGATCCACAGGTATAGAGGATCTCCAGAAGGTCTGAATAGGAGCTCATCAGGAGGTTCAGGGATTCAAGCAGAAGGTTTGACGGGCCTGAACTGCAGAGTTTAGGGTTCAGCGCTCCGTCTTGGCTGTAAACTCAACTTTTCAAGTTTTGGGGTTCTTATAAGGTAGTCGGTTCTGTAAGTCTCAACTTTTATTTCCTTGGGTTTTGGGCCAGTGAGGCTCAGGGTTCAGGGTTATGAAGGGCTTGGGACTTGGCCGGCCAATCCCACACCTGCATTGTTTCAGGCGTTGGCCAAAGGCAGATTGAACATATGTGTTTACAGGATTTTGTCATGAATCAAATGCCATAAGGATCCTTCTGTAAGTTATGATGTCGGATTGCATGTATGTACATGTGAGTAACAACTACGTTGCGTGTGTGCAATGTATATACAGACATACACATAAGCATATACCTATTTATATATATATATATATATGTGTGTGTATATATGTATCTATTTATTTATGTGTTGCCCAACCCGCCCTCCTTTGCACAGGAGCAGCCTGATTGGCTGCCCTGGCCTTGGCCGACTTGACTTTGGCTGTTGGGGCATACTTAAACAAGCTGACTAAGGTTTGGGTTTAGGGTTTAGGAAAAAGAACCTGATGAAGACTAGTGACTAGGAACATGATCAAGTTTTTGGGTTTAAGGTTTAGGATTTCAGGGTTTAGTGAGCTTAAGGTTTAGGGTTTAAGGGTTTCGGGTTTAGGTATAGGAACCTGATTAAGAAAATCTGGGTCTTTACTAAAGTTGCTTTTGTGAATCCGTATATTTGGGGTCATAGTGCAGTTATAGGGCCAGGGTCTCTTAATGCGGTTCCTACATTGTGGGACTGTTGATCTCGGATTTGGAGTTTACCCGGTATTCCTTAATACAGGAGCTACGAAGATTGCAAGGGTTAACAACATCCTCCTTCCCCGCATCATCATCAATATCATCATAATCATCATCATCATTCCAAGGGTTGTCTGAAGGTTCAGCTGAATGAGTGTTCGACGGCTTGTCTGATTACCGCAACATTCGTTGATTAAGGGTGTTTTTTGGAGGGTCGGCTCTCTAGGTAGCGCGGGCCTTTGGAGGCTATGCATATCTAGGATCATCGGGTTTTGAGTGATCGAAGGTGCAATTCCAGCGGCTACATAGATGTTCCTAAAACTCAAATTCCAAGATCCTAAAGTTGGCATCCCATACCGTTCAGGCCTCTGGATTTTCTTAGGTTTCAACACAAAGTCAGTTGGTGCACACAGATGGCGTGCAAGTCGTTATCTGGAAGGCCATGATGGAGGGGCCAGGTGTACATCAGCCAGAACAATGTGATATTGACCGTGGGGTGCCATGGTCGTGTCCCGCCTCATTTCTTCAGTCAGGTATGCTTCTTTCACAACGGAGAGCCGGAGAGGAGTACGAGTACAGCTGTGACCCGCTGCCGAAGCCGTCCTCTGTTCTTGCAGCCCTGGACAAAATCCGGGCGCAATCTTCGGGAGCCGTTCTTCGGCGCCCTGAAGCCCGCCCTAAAACCCCAATGCCCTGCCTACACCTAAGCGCTAAAGCCCTAATGCCCTAAAGCCCCAACCCTACTTAAAGGCTCATGGGACTTAGTAAGTAAGGTTATAAGTAGGTTATAATTAGGATAGCCCCACTTAGGGGACTTATAACCCCAATTATAACCTACTTACTAAGTCCCATGATCCTTTAAGTAAGCGCTGAAGCCCGAAAGTCAATAAGCCCATAAAGCCAAGCCCGACCGCCTCAAAGCCCTAACCTGTACCCTAAATCCTAAACCTAACGAATCGACCCTGGGGCAGAAGCTACCATAAACCCTCTAAAACCCTCTTCTTACAGGGGCTTTGTGTCAATTGTACTATAGTACCCTATAGGGATCTGATCTAAGGACTCATATATGAAGGCATTTGAGCCCAAAGACCATTCTAGATGAGGCTTGTGGGCTACTTTGATGCCCAGGCATGGCTATAATAAGCAGCACCGAAAATAGTGTAGGTAGTTTTTTTGTAACTCCCAAAGAATTGGAAACCCAATTAAAGACAATTCTTGCTGGGATTCCTTATACATGGTTCTTCAGGGTTGAGGCTATGGGTTTCCAACTGTTGGGCTTCTACTGTAGTAGCTGAATGGGTGCAGCTGAATGGGTGCAGCTGAATGGGTGCAGTGCACTTTTTCTGATTTTTTCCCTTGTAGAGCTGCAAGTGTACATTTCTTGGGGCTTATGGAATCAGCAACTAAGTAGTCAGACTACAAATTCTTATTTTAAACTCTGGTAAAAGTATGTAACTCTGCTTAAGCGTGTCAACACCCTATGAAACCTTGTTCTACTTCCCTTAAACCCTAATGTAGGAACGTGTCTAAGAAATCCTGGCCCTATGGCCCCCAAATAATAGGATTCGTATAAGGAACCCTAATAAAGGCCCAAGGTATCTCAATCAAGTCCCTACATCAAACCCATCAAAACCCTTGTAGTACCCTTTCAAGGAACCCTTATAGAACCCCAATAAAGACCCAAGGTTTCTTAATCAGGTTCCTACATTAGCCCGAAGCGATGCCCCTGCCGAGCTGAGGCAGCAGATGGATGAGAAGGCTGCGCAAACTTGGTCGGTTTTGGGTTGTAAGAGGTTTGAGGGTTTTAGGGTTTAGCAGGTTTGAGGGTTTTAGGGTTTAGCGGTATAGGATTTTGGAGTTTGGGGTTTAGGTCTTTAAAGGCTAGGGTTTAGAGTTTTTATTATTAAGTTCAGAGTTTAGAGTTTCGGGTGGAATTACTGTAGCGTTTTTGAGTGTAGGGTTTAGGGTTTAGCTTGAATTGAAAGGTAACTGACTTCGGGATGGTGTTCATGCAATGCTTGCAAGGTCCAAAGACTGGACGGGTGACTTTCCTGTACTGCCACTTTCTCTATCTTCAGTTATCCTGATCCTAAACCTTTCGCGGCTTAAGCCGTGAAAGCCATATCGAAACCCCAAGCCCTAAACAGCTCGGTTTAGTGTGTTGGAGGTGTTGCGGGTGTGGAGGTAACTAAGCTGATCAACTCCCAAGCACGTTTTGGGCATATTGCTTTCAGAGGCATTGCCTGTAGACTTGAACCTTACAGTTCATACTTAACGTATCTTTCCGGCTATTGCACGGTGTAACCAAACTCGAAAATCCCAAACCCTAAGCCCAACTCGTGTGAGTTCCCGGGGCGGAAGATGTATTAAAGCGAGTCTCTTATCGTTAACATGTGAATATAGCAATTTACTTATACTGTGGCGGGAGGGCCATGTGCACCCTTTAAGAGACCCAACAAGCATCCTTTGCAAGTGCTGTAAGCCCTTCTTGATTGTAAACGGCTCACAACTCTGCCCTTAGACTCTACTACTTGTAGACCCCACACCCTCAACTTAAAGAATCGTTTGAAGCCGTAATAAACACCTGTAGAACCCCATGAAACCCTAAACCCCTTTAGAGCTCTATGAATCCCTGGTTCCTTGTTACATATACATATATATATATATATATCATAGTCTAATGAGCCGCAGAACCCCTCAACCCCAAGCGCTGCAGGTTGCGGAGATGCGCGAGTTCTCCCAAGACGCTCAGAAGCGCCTCCAAGCAAAGGACGGCGAGTCAAAGATGTGACGGTGTATAGTTTAGGGTTGAGAGTTTAAGGTTTAGGGCTTAGGGTTTTGGGTTTAACTTAGTGCATAATTAGAAGCCTTAAACTTTGGAATGTGGTGCTGGCAGGGCTCCTTTTTCAGGGGCCTGCAAACTATAAGGGAAGGGCTGGTATAATTAAGGCTTAGCAAGATGTTATATAGGGGCCTTAATAATTAGTGTAGGGTTCCTTGCAGGGACCGTACGGGTTCGTATAAGTATAAGGGTTAACTACTGGGGGCCCTTACCCACAACAGAGTTTTGGTGTATGTTATCATTGGGTTTAGGGTTTAGGGTATACTTATACTTAGGAACTGGTGCAGTACTCGAAGGCGCTATCCCACAGGGTCCTAGGTACTGTTATGGGGGATACTTCCCCAAATCATAGCAGTAATTCCTAATACCGAAACCCTACATTCTACTATAAAGGTACTTTGGACCCTTTGGGTAAATTAGTTGCAGCCCACCAGGGTTCTGGAAGGGTTGATTGGGGCCCAAAAACGCCTACAAGCAAACAATAGAACATGCTTATGCTTGGGTCTTTTTGGGGTCCGGAGTTGATCAGGGGTTTAGGGTTTAGGGTTTAGGATTTAAGAAGGGCTTGATACTCTAGGATTCTTAAGCGAGCTTTGCAAGCGGTTGTAGGGTTTTTGTGCTGCATCAGGGTCTAGGATTCCAAAATGTACATCAGTATGGATGTTATAACCCCTACAAAGCAAGCTGGCTCATTAGTCAGGGTTAGAGCTTGATGGGGATTGTAGGGGCTTGATGCGCGGGTTTGCAATTTAGGTCTGTGTTCTTGGCGTTCTTCTGGTTGGCTCTTAAGACTTTGACTTTTTGGGTTTCTAAATTGACTATGACCATAACAAGAAGGCTAGAATTTTAGCTTTGGGGGGGGGGGGGTTCTGAAGTCAGCCAAGAAAAGAAAAGCTAAGAACACGCAGTCAGAACTCCCGAGCCGAAGCCGAACGTCCTACACCCCTAAGCCCTTAAGCCCCTAAACCCTAAACTCTAAACCCCTAAACCCCCAAACCCCTAAACCCTAAACCCCTAAACCGTAAACCCTAAGCCCAAGCCTAAGCCCCTGAGCCCCTAAACCCTAAACCCAACACCCTGAGCCAACAATGCTGGCCCCAGAAGACAAAGCCTCAACGCTCGCGTTTTGTCAGGCGGCTGGGAAGTTGCTTTGTGCTCAGTTCCTGTGTTCGCTGCCTGAACCCTGAACCCTACACTGCTTGGAGGGGCAGGGGACTTAGTAAGTCGTTTATAAGTAGGGCTAAAATTGGGGTAGCTCCATTTAGGGTACTCATCATTCTACTTGATAACCTACTTACTAAGTCCCCTGCCCCTCCAAGTGCACCCTCAACCCTAAGCCAGACACTCTAAAGGCTAAACCCCCAAAGCCTGAACCTTACACCTTCAACCCCTACTTAAAGGATCATGGGACTTAGTAACTGGGGATTTAAATGAGGTAACTATACTTATAATTACTTATAACCCCAATTAAGGTACTTATAACCTTACTTACTAAGTCCCATGATCCTCCAAGTAAGCCCTATACGCTCAACCCGAAAGCCTAAGCCGCACACCCTACACTCCAAACCCGAAAGCCTGAATTCCACATCCTCAACCCTACAGTAGAAGCCAGAAAGTTGGAACATCATTATCCCCATGTCCTTAAGGTAAAGTATAAGGGATCCTAGCACTAATCCTCCTAAACCCATGTTCCAACTTTCTGGCTTCTACTATAAACCCTACGCCCGAAACCCGAATTCAGAGGCTGGGGTTCGAGGACAGGGGTCTTGGCGTTGTGAGATTTCTCTGAGTTGACGGCTTCGGGGTCCAGGGCAGAGAGCTACCCTTCTTATCAGGGCTTAGGGTTTATCTTCAGAGGTCCTTCTTTATTTTTTGGTTTCTGGATTTTTATATGATACTACTAATTCAACCTCTGATGGAAAGCCGGACTCCGCACTCGCAAAAGAAGTTCCCCTTACGCCCTGGGCCCGAAACCACCTCAGCCCTGAGCCCCACACCCTACATCCACTGAGACCCTAAGCCCTAAACCCTAATTAAACCCTAAGCCCTAAACCCTAATTGAACCCTAAACCCTAAACCCTAACACCAAACCCTAAATGCGGGTTCTTCTAGGGAAGGGTGGAGTGAGGCTGGCCGAAAAGGTTGAAGCAAAACGTGCGCGCTTCGCGATGCGAAGGCCGGGTCTTGCATGGATGTGCCTAAGCGTTTAGGGTGAGTTAGGGTTTAGGGTTTACGGGGTTTAGGGTTCAGGGTTTACAGCTTGAAGTAAGGTTACTGGGGGTTTTGGGTTTTCGGGGTTTTGGGGTTAGGGTGTAGGGTTTGAAGGGATTTGGGGGTGGGGTTTAGGCAATAGTTAGTGGGGGTATTGCTTAGGGTTGAAAGTTTAGGATGTTCACAGGTCGTGGTCCACAACCACTGCTTGGAGGGGCAGGGGACTTAGTGAGTAGGTTATAAGTAGGGTTTTTAGTACCCTAAATGGACTTACCTTAATTGTAACCCCACTTAGAAACGACTTACTAAGTCCCCTGCCCCTCCAAGACCCTAAACCCTAAACCCCATAAATCCCTTTAAGGATCCCTATAGATCCCTTTAAGGAACCCTTCTAAGAACCCTTACTAAGTCCCCCTGCCCCTCCAAGTAAGTTAGTCTTGATCGGTTCAGCTCACGTGGGCCTTGGGGACAGAGCCAAAACGCCTTGGGGGTTTAGGGGTTTGTAGGGTTTAGGGTTTAGGGTTTAGGGTTTAGGGTTGAGGTTATGTGGGTGTGGTCGTCAAATTAGGGTCCCTTTTTGGTTACCCTAAATACTAGGTGCCGTACGATAATAGGGACCCCAAAAGGGACCCTAATTTTGACAACCACCCATGTGAGGCTTACGGTTGCTGTTGAGGGTTGTGGGTTTCTATAGTTATATGCAGATTAATAGCAGTAGTAGCAATACCACTAATTAGTAAGAAGGACTGATATTGATATTATTCAGATACAATAGCCAACAAGCGCAAGTAACTTTAACGGGGTTCGGGGGAAGGTTTAGGGTTTGGAGTTCAGGGTTTCATGTGAGGTTAAGTTCTCTTACCGCCCCCTGAACCGTAAACCGTAAGCCCCAGTCCGAAATCCTGAGCCCTACAGTAAACCCTAAAGCATCCAACCCCAAACCCTCAACCCCTATAGATCCCTGAAAGGAACCCTAAACCGTAACATACAACCCTAAACCCTCAACCCTATACCGGAAGCCCTCTGCTATAGGGGCTCACAGGCCGAGAGTTCTCCATTGAGTCCCGATGGGTGTAAACACAGGGGTGCTTGAACACTTCAGATAGGCAATACCTCTTATGCAAGCCTATGTAATCCCTGTAAAGGAGGCTGGAAGAAGTAAGTAAGTCCTTATGATAAATAAGATCCTATGGAGCCCTTACATTGCACTAATCCCTAAGCCTCCAAATAGTGATCCTTTAAACCCTAAACCCTAGACCCTCAACCCTGGCCGTCATACAAGATTTATCCGGTTGGTCCTTCTTCCTTCACTTTTCGCAGGCGAAGTTCCGTGACGGGCACGCTGGGCCAATGGCTCAGATGGGATCACAGACCTAGTGCTTAGCGTGTAAGGTTTAGGGATGAACTCAGAGAGCTTTTGGTGGTGTCCATAGGGTTTCGTATCCATAGGGTTTCGTCAGTGGCTTCTCCGACATAGCCGTAAGATTATAGATAAGGGCGTATGATTTTGCCCTCAACCCTAAACCCTAAACCATAGTTTGCCTCAGCGAACTTTTCAGATGCATGTAGAGGTCTGAGTTTCCAAGCAGGCGCCATTCCAAATACGCTATCTTTGTTAATTTATGAGCGGATCCTAATCAAAAAGGGTGGGAATTTTTGGGGTATGATCTCGGTCTTGGAGTTTGGAGTTAAAGTTCAGGGTTTAGTGTTTAGGGCTTTTTGTGGGATATGCAGATGCTGCCATCAGATGAACCCCGACACCGTTTCCGAATCCGGAGGATCCACGTAAACTACCACTAAGGACTTCGGTCCCAACAGGACAGGCCATGCTCACTATGGCTTTTGAGGAGCGAATTCCGCAATGATAGTAGATGACTGTAGACCTTCTCGCGGCTCTCTACTAGACAGACTCAGCGAGGACCACCAACCCCCAGAAGATACTTCACCCGACATCCCAGGTGCCGGCGAGGATTTCCAGGTCTTCACCAGCGCCCCCGTCGAAGTTGTAGGTTTCCTTTTGGCAGCAGAATAGGCACTAGTGGTCCTTAAGCTTGTTTGGGGCTAAAATGCCCGAAGAATCTGCCGGACAGGCCGTGTTTCAGGACTCCGACCACAAACCCTGCTTCGAGGATCATGCGCTTCGGTAAGCGAGGTCTTAAAGATAATAAGATATATGTATAGTTACCTGATAACAGCTGAGTTACTAAGTGTCATGATCTTTGAAGCAAACCCACAAGCTTGGCTCAAAGCCCGCGAACTCTACCCACCGAAATCGGTGTTTGTAGCTTCTTAGTTTAATCCTAATATTGAACTCATAGGGACCCTACATGAAATGAAAGTAGGTTCTTGTAGGGAGAGTGTGCCTCAAACTCAAGCCTCTACACCTTCAGCACTCGCAAACTTGAAGCCCTAAGCCCATAACTACCGCCGAAATCTGAAGGACCCTAAACCCTAAACCCCTTCAACCCTAAACCCTTAACCCTAGACCCTACCTCTGAAACCCTAACCCTAAACCCTAAGCTTCAAACCCTACCCCTTAAACCCCTTCAACCCTAAGCCTTCTGTGCCAGGTCAGGCCGCTGAGCCCGTTGTGGAAAAGCATCTGAGTAGCCCGGGGGCTCAGAGAAATGCAGGGCTTCGAGGTTTTAGGGTTTTTGGTGTTTAGGGTTTTGGGCGCAGAGGAAATTAGGGCTTCGAGGTTTTAGGGTTTTTGGTGTTTAGGGTTTTGGGCGCAGAGGAAATTAGGGCTTCGAGGTTTTAGGGTTTTTGGTGTTTAGGGTTTTGGGCGCAGAGGAAATTAGGGCTTCGAGGTTTTAGGGTTTTTGGTGTTTAGGGTTTTGGGCGCAGAGGAAATTAGGGCTTCGAGGTTTTAGGGTTTTTGGTGTTTAGGGTTTGGGGCACAGAGGACATTGAGGGCTTCGAGCTTTTCAGGCGTTTTGGATGACTTGTTTTAAGACGGCGACGAACGTGCGAACTTAGAGGCTGTAGGATTATCGGACTCTTGATGATTCGTTCAGACAGCTTCATGAAGTTCTACTGAGGCTTTCTACTGGCTTTGCAGAGGTTCTGCCTGTGATTTGATGTAGATGCTGCTTCATGCTCGAAAGCTTTACGACCAAGGGATTGAGGCTTTTTGGTCTGGGCTTGAGGAGTTCAGGGTTTCCAGCCATCGGGGAGGAAGCTGGTTCTGAGTTAGGGGTAGGGTTTAGGGATTTATGATCGCTGGGGCCGGGACCCCGGGATTTTCGTTCACAGCTCCGGGTTGAGGGTTACATTGTAAGTCCAGTGGCGAGTTAAGGGCAATGGGTGTCGACTTTGGGCCTTCTGAAACTTACAGATACCAAGGGTTGCCTTCAGGGCAAAGGCACTGGGAGCATCATGTGACTTAGTATCTTCAGGTTGTCAGTTCCTTATTAAAGCGGTGGTATAAGTCATGAGTATTTACATGTGTACATACATACCCTATGTAATAATCACACTCGTTTCAAGGTCCCATCATCTGTTGGATAGGATGCCCGGTAGTACCCTTATTACCTTTTTGTAGTCCTAGATTCCTTATAAAGTTACCCAATACCAAAAAGGGAGCCCTTGTCATTCCTAGGTTACTGGCATCCTAGTTGAGCAACCTCACGGAGAAATGCGCACTTTGTTGGGGTTCCTTGTATGAATCCTACTATTTTGGGGTTCTAGGCCCAGGGTTTCTTAATCAGGTTCCTGCATTAATCCCAATCGAAACCTAAACCTCAAACCGTAAACTCTAGACGCTGGAGCTCACTCCTCTAAACCCCAAGCCCATAAACCCACAAGGTGGAAAAAGGGCCATTCAGAACACACTGCATGACCATGCCAGAAATCCCACCACGCGGTGTAGGAACATCACCTAACCGTAAATCCTATGTAAGTTTACGGGAGACTGAAGTGAGAACCTTGCCGCGCAGAGACTGCAAAGCACCCCTTAATGGAGGAAGATGCCAGGACGTTAAATTGCGGAGGAGGGCTTAGGGTTTGAAGTTAAGAAAGGACTGCTGCCAGGCCCCAACTATGCTAGCATTTCTGGCAGGCCGTGATCATGCTTTAAGGTTTCAGATTCAGGGTATGGGTTTGCGGCTTTTTTGCAGGGATCTCTCCTTTGATTTAAGGATTGCTCCGATTCCTTAATTACTTGAAAGGTCGTGGGATTTAGCAACTAGGGTTGTTATTATTTGTGTAACACACGAAACCTATGTTGTTTAATATTCTAGCCCCAATTCAGTCGAGGTACTTATGACGCTACTAAACCCAATCATCCTCCCGTTCGACCCTGAACCCTACATCTCAATAGAATCCTCTGTAGCACCCTTCAAGGAGCCCTTCAAGGAGTACTCCTTAAGTAACCTATAGATTCTATAGATCCTCTGATGCACCCTTTAGGGAGCCCTTTAAGGGAGTGCTCCTTAAGTAGCTAAGTAGCCTATAGATCCTGTATAGCACCCTTTAAGGAGACCCCTTTCAAGGAGGACTCCCTAAGTAGCCTATAGATCCTCTGAAGTACCCTTTAAGGAGCCCTTTAAGGGAGTACTCCTTAAGTAGCCTATAGATCCTCTGAAGCACCCTTTAAGGAGCCCTTTAAGGGATTCCCCTTTAAGTAGCCTATAGATCCTCTGAAGCACCCTTTAAGGGGCCTCCTTTCAAGGAGGACTCCTTAAGTAAGGGACCATGGGACCAAAAAAGGTGCCGAGAAGAAGGAGCTGGGATCTGGTGTGTCATGCCGGCACTGCTTCTGCTTGTGAGGGTTTCGCGTGTAGGGGTCTTAGGGGGGGTTTCGGGTTTAGGGATGTTTAGGGTTTAGGGATGTTTAGGGGGTTTAGGAGGTTGAGGGGTTTAGGGTTTAGGGGGGTTAGGTTCTTGGAGGTTCATGGGTAGTTATAAGTGGGGCTATCATCAGGGTAACCGTAAGTATAGCCCATATTAGGGGACTTATAACCCCACTTCTTACTACCATGAACCTCCAAGTAGGGTGTGGGGTTTAGGACATCTGGTTAAGGCTTAGGGTTTAAAGGATGTTTAGGGGTTTAGGGCTTATAGGGAACTCCAGAAAGTTGGAATATGGATTGATGGTAGGATCCCGTATACTTTACCTTAAAGGGGTTAGGATAATGATATTCCAACTTTCTGGCTTCTACTGTAGAGCCTTCCAGGACTTACCCATGCCCCCTGCCCATGGTCCTTAAGACCTTAGCCCGAAACCCTGCATTTACAGTAAAAGCCAGAAAGTTGGAATATCATTATCCTAAACCCTTTATGGTAAATTTTAGGGTATCCTACCCTGAAACCATATTCCAACTTTCTGGAGTTCCCTTTAAGCCCTGAGAACGTGGGGGCAGAACAACCTCAGACCTCCCTAGGGAGCTGTTTAAGTTTACACTGATGTCCGCTCGTCCTCGCACGGCCAGGCGACAAGAAGCAGCAGAAAAAACCGTGTGCCTTGGCTTTGCATGGGACTGATGGGTATTGGTGAATTCAGGCTCAAAGCGTGCCCTTGCTCATTGCCCAAAGCCAGACTCCTCGGCCCAATATTAGAACATGCAAGTCATCATGGATGGGGCATGGATGCAGGGAAGTCAGAATCCAAGGGTAAAAGGAGGGACCCTTAATAAGGACCCTTACGTATATACCCTTTATATAGCTATTATATACCCATTCTATATCCCATTATAGGGTAGGGGTCCCCATTAAGGGTCCCTCCTTTGCCCTTTGACAGAATGCTTTAATTATTAGACCACACGCATCATTATGGTTAGGCCTCGGAACTCTAGAAGGTTGATTCTCCGTTAACTTAGGGGTACTTAGAAATATTGTTTAATTTTTGGGCATTATAATCCCCAAGAAACAGCTAAAATTATAATTGTTGCTAGGGTTCTAAGTTCAGTATAGTACTCAGACAAGACAATCCTGGGCCTGGCAGATGTGTGGCAACACGAGAGCAACATGAAGGGTCTTCCCGAGTTCCTGGGCGAATTGGACAAGCCATTGATTGAGCAGCAGAAGAAGGACAATGTCCGGGACGATGACGACTGAGCCGGCCCATCTGTCAGCACTGAGCCGGCCCATTTGTGAGCAGGTCCATGTGCAGGCACACTGAAATTTCCCAATCAGCTCAGCACCCCAATTATAACCTACTTACTAGGTCCCATGACCCTTCAAGTAGAGTCCCGGTTTAAGCCCCCAAATAGGACGGCATCCTGAGCACACATGTTTGTACCAAAGGCATATCCACCTGTGGCTAGGGGGTACGCTCCAACCCCAAGCACTGTGTCGCAGCACATACGGCTCTGATGGTGATGGAACGTTTAAAGGAATTACAGTGTTCAGTTCTTTTCTTTCATGAAAAGCACCTTCATGATTATGGAAGTCCTATTCTGCTGAACCCTTTCCTGCTATTTGGGGCCTTTAAGGCTTTTCAGTTAAAGCGCCTTAAACGAACCTATTTCTACTCCGGTACGGCTGCTATTATACCTAAAACTCTACAGTAAACCCTAAGCCTAAAGTACACTTTAACGGAGCCCACGTCTACTACTCTGTTTTTAGTGCTTCTCTTCTAAAGAAAGAGCGTGTTTGTTTTCCCTCAACCCTAAACCCTAAGCCCCTAAAACCCTAAACACCTAAGCCCTAAACCCTAAACCCCAAAGCCCCTAACCCTTACACCGCTAAACACCCTTTGCGTTGCCTTAAAGGAAGCCGAAGTTCGTAACGGACGAGTCGCTGAAGCTGCGTGAGCAGACCCGGCGGAGGCTTTGAGACGGGTGGGGGGGGGGGCCTCCTTTAAAGGGATCTACAGGGGCTAGGTTTAGGGATTTAGGGTGCGTGAGCAGAGAGACTCACCATTCCAACGAGGGATTCAATACCGAGGCTTTTTTAGCATCAAGCGAAAAGAGCGCCCAAACCTCCGTGCACTCCGCTCGGAGGTTATGAGCCCAAGGGCTCGCGTGAACTCTGCATAGTCATGGATCTTCAGGGTAGGCGCCGTCGGGGAACTGATGGTTCAGCCGCCGTGGGGGAGTTTTTAGCGCTTCCAGATGGGGAAAGCGCAGCTGTGCGCCCGAATCAGCAAGTTGATAGCGGTGCTGCTGGTGGAGAAGAATCAGCGGGTATCGTAGGAACTGGAGAGGGCGTTGGGGCAGCTGTGAATCCATTCTGGAGTGAGAGAATGCAGAACGAAGCGCAGCTTCGGGCAATGCGGCCACAGGGGCTTGCGGAGGCGGAACAGACCACTTCTGCGGCAGATAGCGGCTCCACAGAACTTCGGGTTGATCAGGCTACAGGGTCAGAGAGGCCTAATCGAACTGGAGATGATGGAGGGGCTCAACCTGTTGGTAATTCGCAAGATGGTTTGCCAGCGGCTTCGGCTTCTGGTGATGACGGCGGTGAGGCTACGGGTACGGCATCGGGTTCTATGGATCAGGGACGGTCGGTTCCTCCTTCTGAGCGTCTTGGCATGAGGTCAGGGGAGCGCTTAGTAGTGGAGCGCATGAAGGAGCTTCTTGAGGATTTGTTTGAACAAAATCGGTTGCTGGTTGATTCTCAAAGGGTTCTTCAAGATAGGCTAGATAGGGTTGAAAATGATGCTATGCAATCTGCCACCTCGGGCGGAGATCGCGAAGCACCGGATGGGGAAGTGCCTGCTGCTTGGGATAGTGTTCGGGAGTTTGTAGAGGGTAGCTGGAACCCTAGGGAGTCCGCTTACCTAGGCCGATTCGTGCCCCCCAGTGAACGTGGATCTTTGGACTTCCAAGCAGGGGTAGAGGAAGGCATTCGGAGAGCTACCGAGGCCATGCGGGCTTCTGAGGGCTCAAGAGTCGATGATCGTCGACCCCCGAGTCCTCCGCCACCTCCGCCTCCTAGAGATGAACCTCCTACTACTCCCAATGGCACTCGTGTTCCCTCTGGTACACCTCCTAGGACCCCTACTCCTGTGTTTGGTTCGCCTAACTTGGCTTTGGAAGAGCAGGTGAATTACAGGGCTCTTGGAGTTGAGGCTAGGGGACGGAATCCTTTGGCGCGCTCAGCTGAGTGGGCCAATGCGGTCAATCAAGAAGCTGTTGAGGGTGATTTTTGGAGCTCTCGGGGTCTTGGAGGAACGGTAGGTTCTTCTCAGGTTGTGGGATCCATCGGGTCGTCGGGATTGTTTGGCACTTTCGAGCCTGTGTTGGAGACTGCGGGAACGCACCCCACACGGCTTCCTTCTGTATAGGGTCCTTCGGGTCGGGTTCTGGTGGTAGGTCGGCGTTTACGCCCGGGGATCGTACTTGGTGGAAGCTTCCCTCCTTGCCAGATCCGGGAACGGAAGATGCATGCATTGTTGTGTCTGATTGGCTAACCCAGATTCAGCCTATCATGAGTGACTTGTCGGAACAAAGTGGAGCTTGGTGGAAGCGGGTTATGGAGGTCGCCCAAAGTGCTTACTTGCGGTGGCAACTTGCAGGACCATTAGAGAAGTCGCTCATTGTCTGTGAAACCCCTCCAGATCTCATCGATCCCCGCTTATCGCGATTGGAAGCTAGGGCTTTGGGTATGATCATGGAAAGTCTTCCTAGGCGTATCAAGGATGAACTCGTGGTAACCAAGGCTCTGACGAGTACGAATGCTGTTTTCAGAATCCTTCTGGCTTTTCAGCCGGGTGGTTTGGGGGAAAGGCAGAAACTGATTTCCAAGGGGTTGCCACTAGCGCGCGTCATTGCTCAGACCAGTTGCGTAGATGGCATCGCTGGTTGAGTCGCTCGCAGGATCTTGGAGTTAATCCACCAGACCCAGCAATCTTGCTGGCAGGGTTGGATCGGCTCAGTCAGGGAATCATTACTGCTAATCCTCAGGTGGGATTCCGTTGTAACATTTCACGAACGCAACATCAGTTGGACTTCAATCCCACTGTTACTTCCATTATGGCCTATGCTAGACTTCTGCAGGCAGAGATGGAAACGCTTGCTTTGTCAGGTGTAGACCCGGATACTGAAGAGACCCCTAAGCTCACCAAGAAGCAACGGGCGGCGGCATTGCGGAAGGAACAATCTGGTACACCTGGTGAAAAGGCTGCAGGTAAGGGCGGAACTTCCGATGCAGGACAGGCGGGAGGTGACAATGCCCAAGCCTCATCTACAGCCCCGGGTAAAGGTGGTCAAGGCGGCGGTAAGCCCAACTCGGATGGCAACAATGGTGGTGGCGGAAAGGGAGGAGGATCAAAAGGTCCTTGTCGTTTCTATTCCAACAAAGGCGGGTGTAAAATGGGTAGGGCTTGCTGGTCTTATCATGACTTCGGAAAGGCCTCTTCAGAATCGCGTTGCTTCAATTGCGGTGCGCTTGACCATAGGGCTGACGCGTGTACTCGTCCTAAGGAGAGGCGTGCAGGTAAAGGCGAGGAGGCGACTCCTCGGGGGGAGTCAGGCTCGGCAGGTTCGGGCTCTGGCACGGCCAACGCCGGGGGGAAAGGAAATGCTGGGAATCCCAAGGGCGACCAAAAGGGTGCGCAGGTTCGGCAGGTAACTGCTGGTGATGTTTCTGGGAGTTCTGCGGGGACCGCAGGAGAGGGTCCTCAAGTTGCGAAGGCGACTGAGACCTCGTCGCAGGAGTTGATTGCGGAAGCGACCAAGCTCTTAAAAGGGTTTAGGATTGCGGCTGCTCGGGTTGTGGATTCTGAGGACAACGGGGGTATTGAAGGCTCCGGTCGAGGGTCGTGGGATGGCAGTGAAGGGCCGTTCTATGTAACTAAAGTTGTGAAGGATCCTCCGAAAGGTTCCCGAGGTTTGGTTGATGGAGGAGCTACAAACTCCTTGCGGACTGCGCGTAGTGTCGAGGAACTTCAGGGATGTGTGAAAACGCAAGTGTCTCTTGCTCTTGGTCATGCAGATCTTTTGCTAACCCCGGTGGGGACGTTGATTTCCGCCGAAAAGGTTTCTCCTATTGTGCCTATGGGAGTGTTAGCAGCAGAACTGGGCTGCAAGGTTAGTTGGGAAGGTGAAGTGTGTAAGGTGTGGCACCCAAAGAGAGGGCGTCTTCCTATTGTCATGGTAAACCGATGCCCAGAACTTTGCTCCCAGATCACAGAGGAGCTGATAGTAGAGATTGAGGAGAAACGGGCTTTGGTGTTGCATCGCGCTCTGCGTTTGAAGGCCATGAGTTGTGGAGCGGTTGATTCCAGTCAGGACAGTCATGCTCCAGTAGAAGACATGTTGCAGTGGCTGCGGAAGCTTAGTCCGGACGGTCCTGAAGGGATCCTGGCGCGGGTACCTCCAGCCTGGAAGGGCAATCTTTGCGGGGATGATGTCCCCTTCAATCGAAGGGTGCGTCGAGCGGTAAGCAGGGCAGATAGGGTAATCATCCATTTGTTCTCCGGAAAGACTAAAGCTCGTGACTTTGGCAACGTACCTAGCTCTGTGTACATCCTCTCCATTGATCTGGAACATGGTGCTGACATCTTGGTAGATGGGACGTATCAGTACTTACTAGATCTGTGTGCTTCAGGAAAGGTCATAGCAGTAGTGGGAGGTCCTCCTTGTGCCACGTTGTCTATCTTGAGAGAGAGAGGCGAGCAAGATGGCGGTCCCAAAGTGTTGCGAGACCGAACTGGTGTAGGACGTTTTGGAACGCAAACGCGATCTCTGAGTCGAGGGGAGAGGAGGCTTGTTGACGATCATACTGTCATGATCTTTCGCATGTTTCTTCTGCATCATGTAGCCCATGAGGCCTCCGAAGAAGGCGTCTTATTCGTCCTTGAAAACCCCATGGATCCTCAGGAGTATCTTCAGGATGAAAAGGAACATGTTAGCTTGTGGGATTGGCCTGAGGTTCGCTACTTGGAGGGTGAAAAGGGAATGTTTCGGGCTTCGTTCTCGCAAAAGCTTTTCGGTCACCCGGTGAACAAGCCTACGACGCTGTTGATCAATGATTGGGGTCTTTATTTGGAGTTGCATGGCAAGCACTGTTCTTCTGGAGCCGTGCCGGTGGAACAGCATCCAGACTTGCAAGACCGGCTGCAGCTGTCCAGAACATGGGCGAAGTGGGCTCCAGGCCTCACTCAGGCCATAGGGCGAGCCATAGCTAAGTGGATTGTTACTCCGGCTTTGGAACGTCAGCGGGTTATGCAAACTGAACAAGCCTACATACGGAGTTTGTCAAAAAATGACCTTGCTTTTGTGGAACACTGTGAACGAGATCATCTTGGCTATAGGAGAGATTGCAAAACATGCTTGGCATCTAGCATACGATCCCATAATCACTTGCGTCAGCGCTATCAACATCGGAACGCTTTCTCTCTCAACATTGATCTGATAGGCCCTCTCACTGAAGGGGAAGATCAGCTTGGAAGGGCGCGACACTTGTTGGTTGGGGTTCTAGGTGTTCCGTTGTTTAAAAATGGTAAGCCCCAACCCTGTAGTAGCCCAGATGTTGAGGATCACCCTATTCCCGCTCAGTGGGAAGATGATGACGTGGCAGGCCCTTTCCCGGAAGATCATAAAGACTTGTTCGAAGAGGGCCCTGAGCCTTCAGCTGAGGAGGATGAGACTTCTGGTTTGGATTCGGCTTGGGAGGATAGGGCTAAGCAGTGGAACGACCGCTGGAAAGCCATCATAAGTGAACTCACTGAGCCAGTTGAAGTGGTTCCTTTGATCTTTGTTGAGCCTATTGCTAGCAAGAGGGCTGCGACTACTTTGCGTGGTCTTCAACGCATATACACAAGCATTCGTCTATTGAACTACACAGTGCGTAGGATCCATTCCGTTTCCGGTAGGGAGTTTGCTAATGCGTTGTCGGAGAAGTGGGCTCTTTCTAGGGATATCGCTTTGACGGCCAGCATTCCGTCGGATCCGCGCAGCAATGGTCGAGTTGAAGGGGTAGTAGGCCGATGTAAGGCAGGGATTAGAGGGCTTCTCGTTCAGAGTGGGTTGCCGCATAAGTGTTGGCCTCATCTGGCCAGGCAGTGGGGAGAGCAAAAGCTCAGATGGGCTTTAGGCAAATTGGGTGCAGAAACTCCGAAACGAGACTTGGTTCCTGCAGGTACCTTAGTTACAGTCAAGAAGCGCGAATGGAGCCGTAAAACCCCATGGAGTAGTAAAACTGTGCAAGGTACTGCAGTCGCCCCGTCCATTCGAGTCCCCAATGCCACTGTTATCAGGATTCAGGACGATGACGATGTTCGTTTGTATGTGGCTCCTGTAGTTTACACACATGTGAAAGAACCTGTCAGATTTGTGGGCACCGCTCAGTCCGCAGATCTCCTTGACGACCTTCCCGCACCATCTCGTAGGGTATTTGGAAAAGTTCCAGGTGTTCTTGTTCCTGGGCGTGGCAGCGCGCCACGGGGGGAGTCAGCGTCAGCGAATGCTCCTGATGCAGGGGATGGTGCTCATGATTCAGCGTCCGCGAATGCTCATGATGCTACTGGTGATGGTGTTCATGATGGTGATGGTGGTGCGAAAGGAAGCCGATTGGATGATGTTGAAAGGACCGGAGAAGCTGAGGAAGCTCCCGAAGATGACGGCCACGGGGTTGGTCTTGTTTCAGGGCTTGGATTGTCTAGAGTAGGGGTATTGTCGGGGTCGCATACGTCTCACAATAGTGGGTTGAACGTCGCTTTGAGCGAAGCGGAGTCGGCTGCATTGCTGGCGTTGGAGGTCTGGTCTCCCGAACAAATCGAAAGGTATGCTGCTCATTTACTCTCGCTCGATGGTCCTCCACAGCGTAGAGAAATTGAGAATGTGCTGCAACGCGCTTTGCAGGACTTTAGGGCTAAATCACGGGCAGTTGACTTGAATGCCAAAGCTAGTGGTGCCAAGGGTTGGACTCTTGGGTTCTATGTCTACGGCAATAAGGTTGGTTTGACTTCGCGTACTCGGCAAATGCCGAACGTAGTCAAGCTGTTGAACAAGTATTTAAAGTCGCTCATATCCTCGGAGGATGCTCCGGCCACTTGGGCAGCGTTGAGGGTCACTTTGGACATGCAGGCCAGCCCTCACTGCGATAGGAACATGAAGGGTTCTAGGAATTGGCTGGTTCCCATAAGTCGGTTCGGCCGAGGTCGATTGTGGCTTGCTGAGGACCAAGTTCAGGGTTTCGATGACAATTCTCAGGATGTTGTGGAGTGGAATGGCCAACGTGGACGTTTCCTCTGTGGGGATGAGTGTACAAAAGGGGTTTGGTTTGATTCGAGTAGACCACACGCGGTAGAGCAGGCTGATGGCGGTCGCGTTGTGATAGTTGCGTATACACCTCGACGTCTTTGCAAGGGTCAGCCGCAGGATCTGGCCGAGCTTGAGGAGTTGGGTTTCAGCTTGCCGAAACATGTTGGGTCGTCTCAATCGTTGTCTGCTGTCAGAGCTCAGTTCGGTAGAGGTCCTGAGTACTTTGATATCAGTACGGACTCGGAGGATGATCCAGTTCCGGGGGAGTGGACCGACACAGGAGAGCCGAAGCACTTGGAAGAGCGTGTTGGTCGCATGGTGCAGTTGGAGCGTGAAGAACGTAAGGCGCTTGTTGAAGAGTTGGATCGTGGCTTGACTTGCGTAACGCCTGGTTTGCTTGCGGAGTTTGGTGAAGACTTGACTTTGATGAAGTTGCTTCAAGAGCATGATGCTTGTGAGCGTGAGGTTGAGCTTGGTTGTTCGTCGCTTGCCTTGCATCGCTTGAAGTCGGTTGAGCGTGAGCTTGAAGAGTTGTGGTGTGAAGCAGAGAAAACCGGACTTCCGCAGGTCAGGGCAGTGAGAGTGGACTCCGAGCCTCTTGGTCCGACGACTTCAGCCGTGCCCGAGGATGACGGTCAGTTTCGTGACTTGCGGGATGGCTCAGTCCCGGGGGAGTTGTCGCAGGCGGTGCATCCCAATTTCGGTTTAGACACTCCCGAGCTGGTAGGCAAGGGTGCCCAGCCGACCCCAGGTGCTCTTCTGCAGACTAGGATAGTTCCTCAGGCAGAGGTTTGGCAAAACATTGAGGATTGGCGACAACCTCTCACGGACGAGGTGGTTGCGCTCAAAAATGCTCATCGAGCAGTTTGGGCCATTGGGCCTGAAGAGCTTAAAAGGCTTGAGCAACTGGCGGTTGTTTCGGTGATTCCTGCAAAAGGGGTTTATACTCAAAAGCCAATAACCAATCGGTTGAGGGCTCGTATTGTGGGATGTGGGAATTTCTTGGAGAATGACGCTCCTGTTGAAGACGCGGCTAAGGGCATGTGTCGATCGCAGGAGTTGTATGCAGGTGGGGTTGATGGTGTTAGCGTGCGACTTCAGACTGGTGTTGCTGCGATAAATGGCTGGGGTAACGCAAGCCTTGACATTAAGACGGCCTTCCTTGGAGCGCCGCTTTACCAGAATAATCAAGGACAGGCGTTGCTTACTCCCAGCGACTTGGAATCCGGCAATCTTGACTTCGAACTGTTGGTGAAGAAGTTGCGTGCTGTCCAAGGGGATAAGGTAAAGATCGTAGTGGTTTCCCCCCCTAAAATCCTTGTAAGGCTTGGTCTAATTGAAGAATCTGAAAAATGGCTGGTGGTTAAAGCTCTGTACGGATTGGCGGAGGCACCGCGCAGATGGAGTGCTCATCGTGATCTTCTACTTCGTCAGTTGTGTTGGGAAGATGGTGGACGTCGCTTTTCCCTGGTTCAGTGCGAGGCGGATGCCAATCTTTGGCGAGTGGTCAGTGTGCAGCAGCCAGAGAGCACTCAGGACGTGGATGCATCCTCTCATAAGCCGGTTCCTGGAACTTCCACCCCTAATCCCCAGCAGGAAGATGAGGGTCCCAAACTTCACGGCCTTCTCGGCGTATATGTCGACGACATGCTTATCACCGCTGATGGCGCTACCACAGACAATTTGATCAGAGAATTGCGGGCCATATGGTCCACTTCGGAGCCGGAGGTTGCTGAGGTCGGAAGGCCGATCCGTTTCTGCGGTTTCAACCTTCATCGGTTGACGGGGGGTGGGTATCTTCTTAATCAAGAGGATTATGTTCAGGATTTGCTTCAGAGGTTTTCGGACGTAGAGGGCACGTCGGACGTGCCGTGTCTCAAGGAAGAGGAGCCCGAGCCAGAGTCCCCCGATCCTAGACAGTTGAAAAGAGCACAGGCTCTTACAGGAGCCCTTCAATGGATCACCACCAGATCTAGGCCTGATATCTGTTTCGCCGTGAACAAAACCGCCCAATTGATGTCGAGGTTTCCCTCCTATGCGACTAGGTACGCGGAAAACATCATAAAGTATCTTAGGACCACTCCTAAGTTGGGTTTGGTGTTCAGACCTTTGGATGATCAAACGCGCTTTGGGAAGTGCGAGGAACTGACGGCACCGCGTTCGTCTGGGCTACTTGAGGTCTTTGCTGATGCTTCTTTTGGGCCGAACTCTTCAAAGTCGCAGACTGGGATTATAGCTGTCTTTTGTGGATCCGTCATTGCATGGTCTAGCCACAGACAGTCTACTACGGCCCAGAGCAGCGCTGAAGCTGAGATGTACAGTAGCATGGATGGGGTTCTTATGATCGAAGTTTTGGAAAGTCTTGCCGAGGAAATTTCCACGGCGACGTTGCGAAAGTTGTTATATAGTGACAGTATGGGCTGTGTGAGTCTTTTCAGTGCTCCAGCAGGAGCATGGAGAACTAGACATCTTAGACTGAAGGCGAAATCCGGCCGTGAGAAGCTGGAAAATCAGGCTTTTGAGATGCGTCATCTGGCAGGAAGATTTATGCTTGCTGACATTGCAACAAAATCATTGCAGGGCCCACGGCACCGCGAACTTCTAAATCTTCTGGAAATGAAAGATCCTGAAAGCTTTGCTGCACCCCTGGAGGTTCGTAAGCTGCGTGGTGAAGGCTTGCTTTGTCAGTCAAATTCCTCGTGTAGGCCACATAGAGCCATGGGCGTGAAGATGTTGGTGTCTTCGGTGTTGCTTGCGACAGTGGCGGCTAAGCTTATCATCACCGTTGAAGACAATAGTGATGAAGATCAATTGGCCAAAATCCTGCTGGCAGTGAGCATGTTGCTTGCGACTGTGGCGGGCTACCTGCTGCGAAAGTGGTGTGCTGAGAGGCGTGTTGAAGGGTCCGAGGATCCATCAGAGGTGAGGTCCTTGAGAGTCTCCGCGCTGAGGGAGTCAGAAGATGATCAATGGTCAGTGGTTTCAAACGCTGCTGGCGGTCAAGACGAGCTAGAAGAAGTAGAGTTCCCTAGAGAGTTTCAGAGTAGGACCCTTGGCCCTAACCTCACCCGTAGGCGTACCCTAACACCCACGGCGGAGGTAGGAGGTGGAACTCAAGCGGTGACTGAGCACTCTGGCTTGCGAGAACCGTTAGCTCACGGACACTCTGGCTTGCGAGAACCGTTAGCTCACGGACACTCTGGCTTGCGAGAACCGTTAGCTCCCGAGCACTCTGGCTTGCGAGAACCGTTAGCTCCCGGACACTTTGGCTTGCGAGAACCGTTAGCTCCCGGACACTCTGGCTTGCGAGAACCGCTAGCTCCCGGACACTCTGGCTTGCGAGAACCGCTAGCTCCCGAAGAAAAGAAGAAAGACAAGTGGATTATCGACCGTAAGCGATCGGTACTCATACGCCTTCACAGCTCTTCGAGGCTGTACTTGCTGGATCCGAGGAAGCTGAAGCTTCCAGATGAGTGCCAAGTCTCCCAGCTTTCAGGACGTAGGCGCTCCTTCGTCGAGTATGTGGATGGCTCTGATCCTAAGAGTGAGATCCTCAATGATGACTTTGTCAGCGCTGGATCCAAGAAGCTAGCCAAGAGCTGGGTAGGAAGAACCGAGTTTGAGATCCGCAAAGCGGCGAGCTCCAGTAGCTCCCGCCTCGATGCTTGAATCAAGTTCAAGTATTGGAGAGCTGTAGGTTGAAGATGTAGCTGTGCCCTTATGGAGTCAACGTAGAGTGTTTCCAGTACGGGCATTGATGATCAAGAAGCCTTGAGCCTGGACAACCTGTCCAAAAATTTTCTGCAGCACATCGGTGCTGAAGGCTTTCGAGCCTCTTTTGAGCTGCTTCAAAGAAGCGTGAGAGAAATGAGCATCGCTCATTTGGGGGAGTGCGTGAGCAGAGAGACTCACCATTCCAACGAGGGATTCAATACCGAGGCTTTTTTAGCATCAAGTGAAAAGAGCGCCCAAACCTCCGTGCACTCCGCTCGGATAGGGGTTTAGGGCCTCCTTTAAAGGGATCTACAGGGGTCTCTTAAAAGGGGTGCTTAAAAGGGTCCCTTAAAAAGGCAGCTAGACTCTGTAATTGGCGGGATCTATAGGGGTGGGTTAGGGTTTTGCTTCTTGGAGGATCATGGGAGTTAGTAAGTGATGTTATGCGTATCTCAATTAGGGATATAAGTACTGATAAGTATAGTTGCCCTGAAGAATTATATCCGCAGTTACTAGGTCCCATGATCCTACAAGTAGACCCTATGACCCCCCCTTGTATAAAACCCTGTAACAAACCGTTATAGATCCCTTTTAAGGGGCCTTCGAAGGAACCCTTAAAGTTTCTAAGTCCCGTGATTTTATTTAAGTCCAAATAGAAGGAGGGACCCTTAATAAGGACTCCTGGGTACATATCCTGCTATATTATACACCCATTATATAGCCCGTTATAGGGTAGGGATCCCCATTAAGGGTCCCTCCTTCTGCCGCTTGATTAAGTAGAGAGCGCTGACCTTATTTGCGAGATTTTTGTAGTCTACAGTAGCCTTAGGCTAGCATGTAGCTGTAGCTTGTAGAGAGTTAAGGGGTTTGAGCCAACTGTGCTTAAACTTTACAACCGCAGCCCCTTGAGGCACAAGCGAAGTAGAAAAAGTGAGCCCAATACGCGACCCAACCTCCGCGCATGGTAGCGGAGCTGGTTCGGTAGGCCCCGACGCTCCTAGGGTGCGCGGGCCGAACCGCCACCCATCAGCCGCCACGTCCGAGTGGTGGGGCTGGTGGGACTGGGACTCCGACTGGAGTTCCCAGTGGGACTGGAGGACCTCCCAGCAGGAGGAGGCCTCTTCCAGTCAGGCACCAGGAGGTGCCAAGGGGAGCGGAGCCGCTGAAGCTCCAGCTCGACCGCGCCGCCCTCTCATAGGCGAGCGCACCGAAGCCCCGAACCAAAACCGGGGCAGAACAGCCGAGCCCGAAAAGGGCAAAGGCAAAACCGGCCCGAGTGCGGGCCGCCCCGCCTCGGAGTCGGGGAGCCGAACCCCCCGTCGCGGGGAAAAGGGAGCAGGGAAGCCCACCAAGGGCAAGCCTGCCAAGGGAGCTGCGCAGCCCGCAAAGGGCAAGGCAGCCCAAGAAAAGGGAGCAGAGCAGCCCGCAAAGGGCAAGCCAGCTCCAGCAGGCAAGTCCGGCAAGGGCAAGCCTGCAACCCAAGAGCCTGAGCAAGGTTCTGGGAAAAAGAAGAACCACCGAGGTGGTCGTTCCCAAGCGGCCCGCGCCAACCGCGAGGCCCGCGGCGCCGAAAGGCGCGAAAGAGAGGGTACAGACCCGGTCGTCCTCGTAGAGGGCCCGGGGACTGATATCCCAGAGCCGCGCACTCCGGAGGAAGCTCCTGCAGGTGCCGGCCAGAAGATTCCGAGCCCGAGCTCGGAATCCTCCTTGGACACCGCGCCGGTGCCCAAGGCGCCAGTCTTCACAGAATCCTTGTTTAAGCATTTGGGGTGATAGGTTTTTTGATTTGGGGTGGTAGGTTTTGGCTCAAAACAACTGCAAGGGCAGTGGCAAAGTTGACATTTCACAGTTCGTGGGTTGTGACAAAACGAGCAAACGATGGCCGAATCATGGTCATGTGTGCAATGCTGTCACCAAAAAACACACATGTTTGTTTTGGCAGATTGTTTCTCTTCTCGCGAAATTGCTTACGTTTATCACAGGCCAAAAAATATTTTGAAACACTCGAAGATTATTTCGCCATGATTTGTTTTGCCACCGAATCTTTGGATTTGTCGCACAAACCAACAAAGCTTTCTACAAACATGGTTGACATGTACAATCATGTATATGTTTGATTGGTCGGTCCTAGCATAGCTTAGTATGTTATGGGCTGGAATCATTCTTGAAACACTTTTAAAACGCCTTTGCCCTCCTCTCAAACATAGCCTGACCTCTTGAAAACCCAAAACCCTAAACCCTTCTGATGTCCCCGAAACCCTTAAGAAAACCCTAAACCCTTCTGACGTCCCTGAAACCCTTAAGAACCCGCCCCGTATGCAGACCCCCACATCCTAAATCTCTCGTACTTGAACCCTTGACCCTTCTGATGTACCTAAAAACATCTTCTAACCTTAAGAACCCTTGGTCCACGCCCGAACCCCTATCCTAAACTTCTCGTTCCTGAACCCTATACCCTGAACTGATCAGATGGACCTTATAACCTTCAGAACACCTGCCCTACACCCAAACCTCCACCTCAGTAGTAACCCTTTACCCTGGACTAGATCCAAACCCCTGATCCTAATCTCTCGTTAGTATCTGATGTACTGTATGATGTCTAAACCCTAAAAATCCTAAGACTACCCCAAAGACCCTGAACCTGCAATGCATCTGGGGATGCTGCGCTGTGCAGGCAGGCTGGGGGCAGGGGCAGTAAGAGACTAGGCAGCACTGAAGAAGTGCTGATGAGGCCCCCCAAGATCCCCAGCTCTGAAGAAGAGCTGAAGGTTTGCAGCACTGCAGAAGTGCTGAAAGGCCCAGGGCTTTGACCTTCAAGTCGGGATTAGGTTTGGGGCTGAGGGGTGCAAGGCTTTAGCTTGTAGACAGGATATCAAGCCCTAGGGTTTGGGATGCACTTTGTTTAAGGGGCTTTCAATATAAAGGGGTTGGGGAGGGGCTGCTGAGGCACCAGGACCACTCGGGTCACTTAGCTTGGGAGCTGTTGGGGGCTCAGGGCCTAAGGGTGTAAGGTTTCAGGTTACATATAGACACGGAATTGTTTAGTGTCTTAGGGGATGTGTTTCGGCTCTAATAGTACAGGCTCTAAAAACGAGTCGATTGGGGCTAAACTGGGCAAAGTTAAGAATTGGGGGCCAGGGGTGTACGGTTTCAGATTGTAAAGAAAGCCTTATGGTAAAAAATAATGTTCGGGATTGTGAAATTCGACTTCTAGAGTGTGCTTGGGCTTTGGGGACTTTGGGCCGATCAGACAGTTCAGGTTTGCGGGGTCGTCCTTCCGGCATACTCTGTAACTGTGAGACTCTGGTCCCACTAGCACAACAAGACCAGGCACCACGGCCCATCCTCTATCCCTTAGTTGGGTTCAAAGGTTCAACAGGTAGGAGAGAAAACAACTGACCGACCCTGATGCCTGAATACCTGCACGCAGCTCCCGCCCTGTGCTGGCCGAGCACTGAAGAAGTGCTCATGGCCCCCGAGTGCCAGCACTGAAGAAGTGCTGAAGACCCCCAACCCAGAAAATCACCATCGACCCCTTCCAAGAGCCCTAAAAAGCCTCACAGGAGACTTCTTACCGGAAGCCCTCAGCCCTGAAATCACAAGTTTCCTGGACCAGCAACCCTGAAGCCGACCTCGCCCCCACCTCCATCCCCATCGGATCGGCGATAGCTGCTGTGCTGCTACTGACTGCTCGCCGCGCTGGGGTTTGCAACTTGCCTGTCATCAGACAGCTGATTAACTAGCTAAGCCGTGTGAAGAGGATGTTGAGCTGTCGGGATCAAACCTGAAAGTGCGGGTCCCTCAACCCCAATCACTCCCACTCAATCAAAGAATGTCCCTGATTCTCTTTGAGTTTGGTTCCTGGAGCCCAAAGCTCGACCCAAAGAACTCAAAACCCGTACTGTACTTCAGGTTTCGGTGGCTTTGGGTGAAGACTCCAGCACTACCCTGGGTTTTGGTTAAGGAATACTATTTGGGCATTTTGGGCGTTCAGGGGCCTTGGAGTTTCTCGGTTTCGGTGCTTAAGCTACGGTTTAGGGCTTTTGTTTTGGGCTTTGGAAATTTTGGGGCACAATGAACTAATTGTTCAGGGAGTTCAGGGCTAAGGGTATTGGGATGTTGTGGGATTTGGCCCCTATCTGTTGTCCTAATTTAAGTGAAAAAACACAATTGGTTCCCCGCCCGTAGATTCAAACTAGAACGTCCCAACTTGGGGCCAGGCCCAAATTACATAATTTACATTTGGATCTGTCTGCACTCTGTACCGACAGCCTGTAGCACTTTCGGATTCCTTGATACCACACGCAGCGTGAGAGGCCCCAAGAGCAGGGTTTGAAAGGCTTTGTTGTTCTTGAAGGAAAAATCACACGTAAATCTTCTGTCTGAGACTACGTGACTATGTGCATCAGCACACGATGATGGCTTCTTGGTCTTTCTAGGGGTCCTAGCGCATGTCTTCTCGAATCCCTGTGGTATTCCCAGGAGTTCATTGAGCTAGGATAGGCCACGATCTTTGTGCTTCTGCCATGAATTCTGCCGGCTGGAGTTGGAATAATTCTGCTGGTGGTTCTGGTGGCGGCGGCGGTGGTGCTGGCCGTGATGGCCAAGATAAGAAGAGGTGCCAGGGCAAACCAATGCTGTCGGGCAATTCAGGGATCTAGTGAACCAGTCAGGGTGGACTCAAAAGATGGGGGGATCGATGAACATAGCTCCGACATTTGGGTATGTAGTCTGAACACTGGCTTATCAGCTGAATCCCTGGTTCAAGGTCCCACAGCTCTGGCCACGGCCCGTCGAGAGATGCTCGTGTTGAGAAACGCAAGAATGAACGAGACCGTTTGAATGAGCTGATCGACAGCCAAGCCGCTCATATCAGTCGTCTCGAAGCGGAGATCAGCACGCTGCGTGGCAGTTCGAAGTCTTCCTCCGACGCCGAGTCGTCTTTGAAGAAGGCCATGGAGGACAAGGAGAAGGCCTTCGAAGCCAAGGAGAAGGCCTTCGAAGCCGAGAAGGCGAAGGCCATGGAGGACAAGGAGAAGGCCTTCGAAGCCGAGAAGGCGAAGATGCGGAAGCTTCACTCCAAGGAGATAGAGGACCTGGAGAGGTCAAATCATGTTCAGAATCTGGAGCTGAAGAAGGACCATGCGAATGCGCAGAAGGAGCTGCGCCAGCTTCGCTCCAGGAATGAGGCCGGAGGCTGAAGAAACATCTTAAGGTTGGGTGTAGCGGAGGTTTGGATAGTGGCTAAAGTGGCTTCCCATCAAGGTGCTTGTTCCCTGGGTTTTTTGAATCCCTGCAGACTCTCTTCACCAACAACGAATACTTGGAGAAGAAGTGCAAAGATCACCTTCACACTCTCGATGTTGCCCAAAAGGTTCGCATGGGACTCCAGGACGACAAGGCAGAGTTGCAGAAGCAGCTTAAGGCACTCCAGGACGAGAATGCCGGCTTGAAGGAAAAGCTTCTCAAGGCGGAGAAGGGCCGAGACACGGGCACTGGTAAGCCAGCTGAGCCCAGTACAGGCCCGGGCAAGAGCAAGGGCACGAAGGGCGGAGACAAGGGCACCGGTAAGCCAAGCGAGCCCAGTACAGGCCCGGGCAAGAGCAAGGGCAAGGGCAAGAGCAAGTGATGCCAGTGACTGGTTGGTCTTTCCCTGGGATTTGAAAGAGTCCAAAGATGCTTCTAAGCTCATCTAGCAGCTAGCAGCTTGCATGAATGGAAAGCATGTAGCAACTTGCATTTAGCTGGTGGCACAGGGACTCTGGACAATCCCGTAGCACTCTTGAGCGGGTTGCGTGACGTGAGGATGTGCATTTCTTTCAGACAGAAGCCGGGGCAGCCAGGGAAGTATTGGGTTTCATTAAATTCTTTGGCATACGACAGCAGTAGTTAATGGTCACTGCTTGGTGCATTTTTTCACGCGATTCGTTCCTAAGGAACGGGCTTGCAGTCGTGGCCTGGACCGACGTGAAGAAAGATCAGTCCGCAGTCTTTTTCTAGGTATGAATGAAGATAAACTCAGAATTTCTATAGCAACAGCAGTGGTTCAGTTCAGTAGCAGTTGGTAGGTTGTGGGATCTCAACCGAACATCCTGAGTCGTTTGTGCCACATCGCCAACCTTCAATAAGAAACTTCACGAACCCATCTATGAGGTTCCGGACCCAGGCCCAGACCTGAATGACCCTAACCTCGCCCCAGTAAAGAAACCATGCCCCAAACTAACCAAACCCTAACCCTCGACCCTAAACCGTCTGAACCCTTGGGAACAAATTCGATTGGTCTCTATCCCAGGCAATGCGTGAGGCCAACTTCGCAGACGGCAGCAGGCAACGGGGCTACATGGTTGGGTGTTTGTGACCTTCGGTTTTCTGTAAGACCTTGAAGCAACCCTAAACCCGGTTATCCTGACTGCACCTTTTTCTCCCAGAAGGAGTATGTTGCAAGACCCCCAGCGGGAGATTACACACAAACCATAAAACAAACAAAACCCTGTCTCAACAAAAGATCCACACGCCCAGACGCACACAGACACACATACACCAGCCTATCTTAACTTTGTGCTTGCCTTTATGTCAGTTGATCCAGAGACTACTGCTACTGCTACTGCTACTGCTACTGCTACTGCTACTGCACTGCCACTGCCACTGCCACTGCCACTGCCACTGCCACTGCCACTGCCACTGCCACTGCCACTGCCACTGCCACTGCTACTGCTACTGCTACTGCTACTGCTACTGCCACTGCTACTGCTACTGCTACTGCTCCTGCTGCTGCTGCTGCTACTGCTGCTACTACTATGAGTACTGATGCCGAGCACTGAAAAATGCTCTGTTCTTCGTCCTTGCACTATTGTATAGATAAGGAGCACTGAAGAAGTGCTCACTAGTAGTAGTCCTAGTAGTCGTGGTAGTAGTCGTAGGGGTAGTAGTTTGCCGAAAACCGTAGGAGCAGTGTATGTAGTGTACGGGAGTCATTTCAATACTTTTTCACTGCTTTTCTGGAGTAGTAAGCACTTCTTCAGTGCTCCACATGGGTGCTAGCAGTAGTAGTCATACTGGTAGTGGTAGTAGTAGTAGTAGTAGTAGTAGTAGTAGTAGTAGTAGTAGTAGTAGTAGTAGTAGTAGTAGTAGTAGTAGTAGTAGTAGTAATAGTCGTCGTCGTCGTAGTCGTAGTGGTAGTAGTAGTAGGAGTAGTAGTAGTAGTAGTAGTAGTAGTAGTAGTAGTAGCAGTAGACTCCAACCCCTAAACCATTCACCCAGTGTGAGCGCCGAAACCATTCACCCTAAACCTTGGCCCCCCCTAAACCCGACAGCCCTCTACACTTAGCCCTTGGCCCAAACTAAAACCCTCAAGCCCTCAACACCCAGCCCCCCGTGCAATCCTCATATATGCAGCATGCTTTTTACTGGTGGCAGTGTTTTCAAACCCCTAAACCCCCTAAATTCCTTTAAAATCATAAGACCCCTAAAGTGATGATTTTATGCTTGTGTGAAGCTTCAGAGGTCTGGTGGCTTAGATGGTTCGGGGTTTAAGGCCTTCAGGGGGGCATCCCTTTCAATGACATGACTGGTTTCTTTTAATCCCCATTTGTCAGGCTGGGTGTCCAGGACGCTCAGGGCACCACTCTGAGTGGTGAGCTGGAGGCTGGCAGCTGGAGTCATAGGGAATAGGTTTCAGTACTGAAGAAGTTTTTGACACTATTACGTACCACTATGAGTTCTTTTACTAAGTCTACTACTACTCCGGAGCACTGAAGAAGTGTTCCGCTCTACTACTACTACTACTACTACTACTACTACTACTACTACTACTACTACTACTACTACTACTACTACTACTACTACTACTACGACTACTACTACTACTACTACTACTACTACTACTACGACTACTACTACTACTACTACTACTACTACTACTACTACTACTACTACTACTACTACTAGTACCCTGAAAGGGATCCCTGAAGAGGTTGTTCTTAGTGCCACTTGTACGACTACCTGTGCTCCTACTTAAGGAGCTCTGAAGAAGAGCTCTGAACCACCACGACGACGAGAACGACAATGACTACTACTGCTGCTGCTGCTGCTGCTATTCCTACCACAACTACTACTACTATAAGCCGACAAATTCTATTGACTAGCTCCCCTCCCCCTGCAATCATAATGTAGGCAGTCTGCTCTTTGTTGGTAGTAGTGTCCCTAAACCCCAAAACCACCTAAAGAAAAACAATCACCATAAGACCCCTTTAAACTGAATTCTTTGTGCTTGCGTGGAGTTTCGGACGTCTGGTGGCTTTGATGTTTCGGGTGTGCCTGGAAGTGATGTGGACCTTGCGGACCATATATGGCTGTGTCTGGAAGTGATTTGGACCTTGGTGAACATAGTGTCACAAGGACAGATGCTGTGTTTTTCAGCATACATGAATGTGAGGAACATACGGTCACATGGGAAGACACACTGTGCTAGAGACTGCATCATCAATAGACAGAATGCCAGCACCTTTTGCTCGAGGTCTGTTGCTGGTCCCTTGTGCTGGTTGTACAGCAGACAATGTGTGCTGCATGAGTTTCACATGTGGTCCCGCTTCTGGTTGCTTCACCTGGTTGTGTGCTATCATCCAGTTCCGTTCCCAGAGGATCCCCCGTCCCCCCAGATTTGATCGCCCTTGCCGGGGATTTGAAGGGATTTGGCACTTCCGGATACCCCCCAATCCCCACACATTTGATCCCCTCCCAATCCCCCTCCAGCGGATTTAGCACCCCTTCCAGGGGATCTGGCGCACTTCCGGACCCCCGATCCAGGGGATTTGCACCCCTTCCAGGGGATTTGGCACTTCCGGAACGATTTGGCACGCCTCTGGAACCCGCCAAGGGGATTCCTTGAAATAGAGCACCCCTCCCAGCAGATTGGGCACTTCTGGAACCCCCCACAGTGCACCCCTCCCAGCAGATTGGGCACTTCTGGAACCCCCCATTTCCAGAAGTGCTTTCAGAAGTGCTTTCAGAAGTGCCACCTCCCGGGGGAAATGCGCAGACTTTCCCGAAGTCTGCTTGGAAAGTCGGCCTGTTCGGAAAAGTCTGGTTCACGGACAATGCGAGGGTCAAGTCTGGAAGAGGACATGTCCCCTTGTACCCCCCGAAATGGCCAAGTCTGCCCCTTCCTTGAGACCCGTGCCGTCTGGTGGCTCCGGGGGACAAGTCATGCGACGGGCCGACAAGCCGGGGTCAGTTGAGGCCCTTGGCCTGGGCCAGCAAGTCATGGCCCGTGGCTGCTAAATATAAACAGCAAAAATCTGGCTCAAGCGGCCCGGCAAAAACACTGTTAATCACAATTGTGAGAATTGCATATGGCTAACCAATGTGTTTTCCGTTTGTTTGAGTCAACATGTTTGGCCAGCAGTATGCTGGGTGTCTTGAATGTGGTGTTTTCTGAATAATTGAGTCAACATGTTTGGCCAGTGGTATGCTGGGTGTCTTGGGCGTGGAGAAGTTGGCGATCAGATCTGGATTCTGACGGCTCAAACCTCACGTAGTAAAATACCTGTTGCGGCTCAGACATCTGCCCGTGCGAAAAAAGCCTTAACCTCGAAAACCCCACCCTACAACCTTTCGTTAGTAGTTTATTCTCAGACCAGAAGCTTCCTGAGTTTAAACCTTAAAAAGCCGAGTAAACCCATCATAAATAGGTCTGTGTGTGTGGTGTGTCTGTGTGAAGGTAGGGGTACCGGTCTTTATTTTGTCTTTGGAAGCTGCATCACCATCCCATTTGCCATACACCCTCAGCATCAACCGTGCAGCCCACCCAGTCTTGTGCAGTGCCGACCTTGAAGCTAGAGTTTCGCTAAAGTTATAGGCACGGGTTAGGTTTAACAAGGACCGTACTGCCGTAATTTGCGATAACGGTTTCTTGGCAGAATCCAGACGGTAATTCACAATAGGTCCTTTGATGTGTGTACTTATAGACTATCGCCAGAAGTATCTAGTAGGTTAGGGTACTTTCCTTATCCTCTCGAGGTTCTGTATTAGTCAGACATATGCCCGTTGGAGCCCAAATCCCAAATCCAGGATGCCTAAAATCCCAGCATAGACCTATGATAATCGTGGATTTTTTTCGACCTCACTGTCTTGAAGGAGCTCATCGCAGAGCTCACACTGACTGAGGCGGGATGGGGGGCTTCAGGTCTTCAAGTGGCAAAGAATCATTGTCTCGTAGTTTGTAACTCGAGCATAAAGCCGCTAATGCCTTGAAACAGCTTTCGAGCAAGTTGAGTGTTCACTGGAGCCAGGGGGACATGCTGGTGGCCGGGAGTCTCAGACCATGGGTTGCTCGCGAGATTCAGTTGCCGGAGCATGCAGGCTTCCGATGATTTGAGCAGATTGTGCAAACCTTCCCTCCTCTGCAAGATCCAAGCCTCGAGCCACGGAAGCTCATGCAAGTAACGAGAAAAATACAGCATGGTATCGGTGTATCACGGGATATCCGACTGTTGTGTGTTTGTTCCCATCCAGCAGTATCATCATGGCTGTGTCTCTGCCGGATGCTGATGACGGCCACGACTGTTTGCTTGATTTGCCCGTTCCGGTGGTGCCACTGTGTCCTATGCCTGCACCAGAAGATCTGGCAACTCCTGCAAGAAAGCCTCAGAAGTTGTTAGTGTCTCCTCTGCCGCATCCTTAGCTTGCAGGACCAATTGAATGTTATGTGCTGTCTTTAATTGCTTGCGCTTTGAGCTGCAAATATCCAAAAGCAATACTGTCAGGTCCGGGACCAAGGGTTGCTGTGCCAAAAAATGCACAGAAGCATTTCTGGGATCGGCCACATCAAGGATGCAGCTCGATGACTTGAAGAGACAAATGCAGAAGATGTCTCACGATGAGACGAACTCGAAGATCTTTCAGTTACTGAGCACCCTTGGGAAGGAGCTTAACGCAGTACTACTTATAATCAAGCTGCATACTGCAAAACCGCAAAGCCTGCTATGACTCTGACAGGACAACGCTGGCCGCATGCAGTACGGGCTCTTTGGGCAGAGGCTGTGCACGTCGGCCTTCTGTGAGCTTCTGGAAATCAATGTGAAAAGGGCATTCTGGTCGCACATACCCTCCCCACCCTGACCTCGATTCTGTCCATGCCTTCATAGACTAACCAATAAGATCGCATGTGAGCACTGTGCGAGGTTACTCGTCTTCTGGGCGGATTGGACCTCGGCAAAGTGCCAGAGGACAGGCGGCGGTACAATGGCATGAAAGCGCAGGAGGTGCAAATGTCTTTTTCTGGACACGCTTGGACTTGTGCCGTGCTTCCGTAGCATTGAAAGGGTCGTAGCACTAAGTCCCAGATTGCAGGTTATGTCCGCTCCAACCATGTCTGCAAATTGCTTCATGAACTACGTCTATGAGAACTTTGCAGCGTGGCTGATGTACAGCTTACTGTTGCCCATTAAACCTATCTCTCTTGTAGTTAGGATACGTCAAATCTGAAGGTTGATGGCTGCATGCAAAGGACTAGTCATTGAATCTATCTATATTGTGGTTCGGACACATCAACACTGACTGAAGGTTGACGGGTGCAAAGACCAGTGACTTAGTCAGGTCAGCTATAGGGGAGAATAGTCTTGGGATTGAACCCTCAATGAGGCAGAGACTCTCGCAGACACCAGCATGGAAAATAGTCCCTATGTGGCATCGCTGCTGGAGCTGGAAGGTGCCTTGTATCTATACATGACTCAATCTTACACACCCGTCCTGATAATCACCTTCAGTGTGTAGCTGGTCCTTGCTGCTAAAGACTCAGGTCTTGGGCAGGATGAAGGTCCTGCGGGGCACCACGTTGGCGAGGAAGAGCCAGTTTTCATGGATCAGTTGGTGGCAGAATTTCATGCCCCTTCCTTTGCAATTGCCGATATCCAGGAAGAAGGACACCCTCTCATTACAAAGATGTATGATGATGTGTCTAGGTTATCTAGCATGACAAAGAAATCCTTGTATTCTAGGTGAACTCAATCAATTGCCACTAGGAGAGCCAACCGAGAAGGCCATCAGGTGCAAAAAATATGTGGGATGGACAACTTTCCGAGCACTCTACGAAGAGTACCTCATGTGGTTCGAGACTCTGTCTGGAGCACATATGGCTGGGCCGGACACAGCTGCTGCCAGTGTGAGTACTTTCCGAAAGGTTGTTAAGAGCTGGAGGAAGTACATTGGTTATCGCAAGGAGTCCCAGCATGCAAGGTGGGCTTTTGATGTTGAAGTGCTTTACCGACTTCTTCTCTCACTCCATGCTCTATAGATTCTGAATCTCTCTCTCTCTCTCTCTCCCTATCAGGTGTGCTAGCTGTGCGGAGTTCACCGAACGAATCAAGAAGTGCCAGTTGCAAAGTGAGCGGGACGCGGTTATTGAAGCACACAGGCAGCACCTGAGAATCGTTCGGAACTACAGGGCGGCCCAGACACGGTTTAACCACATGAGTGAAGAAAGCTGCGGGTGTGTGCACTCGTCCACTTGTGTGGATGGGCCCGACTCGATCCTCAAGCTGGACATTGACTACTGCGATCAAGCCAAGTTTAGAATCCCTCGGAACCTCGCGCTCACCAAAGCGACGGAAAACCTATGGCGTCCGCAGTTGCACACTGCCGGCATCCTGATTTGGGGAGATCCCTGTTTGCAAGAATACAGCATGGCAATCACGAGTCCAAGTAAACCCCAAATACCCCAAACTACCCTGAACATCACTACTGTCCAAGGTCGCGGAGTGCTACATCATCTGTGAAGCCGACCTTCCGAAGGGGTCCGCCTCGGAGATCGGCTTGTTGCTTCGGGGCTTGGATGCGGCAGAAGACATTCTGTCAAAGCGTTCTGTTCCCCGGCTTCCGGAACACCTTATCTTGGAGGCCTTGACAAGTATGTTTCCAATGTAGTTGTGTGGTCATGATTGCTTTAATCCCAGCCCTGCACTGCCAGACGGACAACACCTGTCGTGAAGGGAGGAACCAGAATGTGCTGCAGTTCGAAGGGGTATTGGTCGCAAAAAAGAAGCCCCTGAGCTATTGGATTCAGGCATGTAACTGGTTGTGTCGCCTATTTGGTCTTGTTCGTTGCATGTGTGGCCCAGGTTCAAAAGCGTATCCCATCTCTATGGACCCGTCGGACATACCCACGGGCCGCTAGATCAACGCTTCTCCATCGTCACGACTGGACTGGCCGCAGCGAAGGTGTTGGAACACCCTCAGGAACCCCACAGTTGCCACTGAAAGTTTTCGGGTCGGATGCTACTAGTTAGGGATAGAAAATCTCATGTGGAAATACCAGGTGTCAGCTCCTTCATATTTACCGCAGTGATTCAAACAATCCTTTCAAATGCATTGGCTCAATTTTGGCATCACTAAGTTGCGAAGACTCAAAAAGCCAAGCCCATACAGCCGCCTTTGATTCAATGAACCCTTCCTTAAACTTGTCATCACAAAACTGCAAAGATTCAAAACTGTCAAGCCCATGTAGTCCCAAGGGTTCAGGGTTTAGCTTAGGGTTTGGGATTTAGGGTCTAGGAATTAGGGCTTAGGGTCTAGGGTTTAGGGTTAAGTCTCAAAATTGAAGCAGCCCAGATAGTCGTATAGCTCCAACCCCTTTCATACTGACCCTCTAAACCTCCGAACTTCAGAAAGCAGCCCTTCAATCAATGCCAAGCTCTCCGACAGGACTTCGTGGACGTCATCCAGCGCACCGTCACACCTTCAAGAGGAAGGCTGTTGCTGGTGGAGGTAATGTGGGGCACATGGGACATGAAAGTGTATGTGCAGAAGCTGGGAATTCAGATCAGTGGTTTGGTTCCTGGCCCTCGGCACCTTCAAACTCACCACTCATGGCGGGTGGTTAGGAGAGCAGTGCCTTGACTTGTTGTAGTTTCTGTGTGCTGGGCTTGGATCTCTAATGACACGTGCTAGTGTTGTGCCCCTCAGGATCTTCCGACGTACGACAAGCGACAAGAACTGCAATGGTCAGTTGTGGAGCTGGCAAAGGAGGCGTTCATGATTTTATGCAAACCCGCACAGACACACACACACACACACACACACACACACACACAGATGCACTACTACCATAAGTGCCCTGACTATGACTCTTTCACAAGCCCCTTGCCTGTTCCATCAGGAGTATGAGCCATCCCCGGACGACGCTGTCTTGCTGCTGAAGGAATGGGTCAGTTCTTCGCATCTTGCGCAACCCCCTGTGCTTCTTGTTCCTCGAGATCTGCTGTCAAGATTAGACGTGGAGCTAATGCCCTTGTACCGGAACCCTCTGAGCAAAAAGCAGATTGATCAGAATCTCGGCTCAACTAAGGTCTGCAGCCCGAACCCTTGCCCACCCCAACAACAAAACACAACTGCTGCCTGAGGTTTCGGAAGACAGCTATGGCTGTTGCCAAGCCTCCGTGGGACCTGACAAGGGCCCGGGACTACATTCTTGATTGGGTCGACTGGCGCTCAGCCTTTTGTTGGGTACGGGGAGAGAGGACTGCAGGGCTCAGGGCATTTAGAAAATCATGCACTACATGCAGGAGATGTCCAGTGGGGCAGTGTCGTGTTCTGTTTCCCGCTTTCAGACATATGAGCTCAGGAGACAAACGCAGAGCAGAAGGATCCCTACAAGCCAGATCGGCCTAAGTGGTTCTTTGGTGATGCTACTGTGTCACTGCGAGTTCATGATCCAAGCGGGTCCTGGCCCTAAATCCTTCGACACTCCAGTGACTGAGCTTCATGCCCTAGCAATCAAAGAATATGAAAGCCAACCTCAGGTGGGAACAATTTGCACCAGGCCCAGTTCAGGAAGTCATCATCAAAAGCAATCCCAAGCCAAGGGGTCAGGAGCATGCTGACGCTGGTCACAAGAGGAAAGCACAGGGAGCAGTAGCAGCGGCAACAAAAGACAAGAAGCCCCGAGGCACAGACACCGTCAACAGAGGACCTGTCCCACCGACAGCAGATTTGCCTGAAGTTTCACTTCCCTCGGAGGACAGTGGCAATGTGTTGGATGTGCCAGGCCCTGTCCCAGAACACAGGCCTGCTGAGCCGGAGGTGCCCCAAGCTGCAGCTGAGGATGGAGCTCCTGCCGAAGTGTGGGACCCGTCTAGTCGAGCATACATCACAGTGGACACTTTGGGCTGTCCTAAGTGCCGTCACAGCCGCATCTCCGGTTGTGGACAATGCAACGACTTAGGATTCAGACAAAGGCGGTTCGAGAGACTGCGCAAGGCCAACAACAACAAGGACCAGCCAAAAGCCAAGAGCAACTCCAGCAGTCGTGGTCGAGGCCGAGGTCGGGGAAGGGGGCATGCCCCCCGATGAATGAGAGGGACATCATTCAAGGTTTTGATTGGCCACAGTTACTTCTCACAGAAGTCGCTGTTTTCAGTTTCGAAAGCACCTGCTTCAAACTGCTGCAGGAATCGATGCTCAATCTTCTCAGGGGAGCTAGGGGGATATGAGAATGCATACCAGGGAAGCTCAAACTAGTTTTCTAGCCACTATGGTTGCAATTTACATGTGACAGGAATATGTTTCCCCAAATGCCCCTGCCAGTTCCATTTCAATCCGTTCTGTGTTCAGCACACGGCCTCGGGGACTAAGGCCAGCGATTGCCTAATCTGTCGCAAAAAATGAAGGAATGACATTGCAGAGTGGCTTCACACTGTGTATGTTCTGCTTGCCTCCATTCAAACAATCTGGAGGGGTCTCTGGTTATGCTTGCATTCTCCTTGCGTTTACCTTTCCCTTCTGCATGAAAAGAGAGGCACAAAGATACAGAGATAGATAGAGAGAGAGAGAGTGTGTGTGTGTGTGTGTGTGAGTGAGTGAGTGAGTGAGTGAGACTGGAAGGCAACATGGGCGAGCAGTGTAGTCACGCGATTGAAAGGTGTAGGCAAAGAGCACTGATAAGGGACAGACTTTGAGCAAGCAATTCGAACTTGCTGCACAAGTGGATCGAGCAGTCCGCCTTATTCTGCAGCCCATGGGGAGTCATGGCAGGTATCACTCTTCCTGATGATGTGACGTGCGACCTAGAACTGCCTCAGGTGCTCACACCTGATATGTTCGGGGATGGCTCAGACTTGTTTGAGACAAGCTCATCAAAGAAGCAATGCAAGAAAAAGGCCAGAGCTGCATCATCACGAGACAGCAGTGGGGCAGCATCAGCTCCCAAGAAGCCGAAGGCCAAGGCCAAAGCCAAAGATCGCACAGAAGCGGTCGAGGATTATATTTCCAAAGCTACATCATTGCCCGGACAGCCAGGTACTCAGTCAGACACATCCAGATACTTTCTGCAACCCATGCCCAGCACTGTTTTACTAATACTGTCAGCCTGTTGTAATCTCCTCTTGGCCACAAACTGCTTGCTTGCTATCCTCTTTGCATTATGCCATTATGCGGCTCTCTCTCTCTCTCTCTCTCTCTCTCTCTCACTCTCTCTTTGTTTTTATCTCTATTCTGCCCAATCGGCTCTTGCGCTCACTCTCTCTCTCTCTCTCTCTCTCTCTCTCTCTCTCTCTCTCTCTCTCTCTCTCTCTCTCTCTCTCTCTCTCTCTCTCTCTCTCTCTGTCACTCTCTCTCACACAAACATACACACACACTCTCTCTCTCTCTCTCTCTCTCTCTGTCTTTCTGTCTCTGTCTTCGCCCAATCCACAATCCCGTTTTAGATATCTGTCCCTCTCTCTCTCTCTCTCTCTGTTTCTCTGTCTCTGCCTTGTGCTGTCTCTTGTCCCAGGCCCAGCATGCCCTTTGATGACATTGCCAGCCTCGCGGACCAGGCCCGAAGCCAGGCGCCGCCTGATCGCAGATGCCATCTATGGGAAAAATTTTCCCCGCCCAGAGTGGGACCGATGATTCGGCAGCTTGGGGGCCGATCGATAAGGTCGATAGATCTGAAGACGTCTTGGAATTTGGCCGATCCAGAGATTCAGCGGCAATTGCTTCAGGATGTCATCTCCCTTCGACCATATTGTTTGATGCTTAGCCCGCCCTGCACCCACCTATGCAAGATGATGTACTCCAACTGGGGTAAAATGGAACCGGTATCTCGAGAGAAGTCCTTAGAGCAAGCGATTCTTTACATGGACATCGCTGTCTGGTTATGCGAACTACAAGTTCAACTCCAAGCATACTATGTCCTGGAGCACCCGGCACAAGCCCTATCGTGGCAGCGAAGAAATGTGTCTTGAACTTGATTGATATCATGCCGCATTGAAGTCCCAAAGTGCAAATACATGTTCCCGGCCTTGCAACCCCAATCATGTCGAAGCCAAGGTGAAGAGCCTCGAGGGAGAGTTCTCTCGCTTTGATCAGTGCAGGTTTGGCTTAAAGTCAAAGTCGAGTCAGAAGGCTCTTCAGAAGCCTACTCTGTTTCTCAGCAATATGCCAACCATCCGAAGGGCGTTTAACGAGAAAACATGTTTACAAGATCATGAGCACCAAGCGATTTCAGGTTTTGAGGGCGGGATGAACCGCTCGACATGGGCCGGCTTGTATCCAGAGCCATTGTGCGAAGCTGTAGCCCGGGCAGTGCTTGACCAATGGAAGCAAGATCATCCATGATCATGACTGTCCATTTGGAAGCCTAGAAGGAATCAGTGGGAACTATCTTACCATATACACCGGAGTGCATATTTGCTGTTCAAGCCCGGGCTCTTTCACAAATTGACTGACAGACTGACTGCGCTGCTGGGGTGGCTTCAGAGAACAAAGAGTTATTGTGTCCAGCTGAACACAGCTTTCATTTGCTTGACACAGTTCATGTTGCTGTGCATTGCCAGACTATATCACTCGATCTCGACATGGGGAAATCCGACCTCGAGATCGAGCGATTTCGTCCGAAATCTCTCGATATCCCTAGTCGTCCGAAACCTCTCGATATCCCTTTGTCAGACCATATCGCTCGATCTCGACACCGCGAAAACCGACCTCGAGATCGAGAGGTTTCGGCCGAAACCTCTCGATATCCCTGGGTTTTGGAAGGATCGCTCGATCTCGGGGTCAAGGAATCCGATGGATCGTTCGAGCGATTCTTCCAAAACCTAGGGATATCGAGAGGTTTCGGCCGAAATCGCTCGATCTCGAGGTCGGTTTTCCCGGTGTCGAGATCGAGGGAATTGGGTTGATCATCCTTTGATGTGGACCGGTGTTATCAGATTTTCTGCTCTCGAAGCAAACTGGTTAGTAGGTGCAGGCAGGATGAGTGAGGCACCTCAGCAGGGCGCCGATGCTGCCCAACAGGACTCGCAAAGCCTGGCAAATCCAGACCGGGAGGTGGCTCGAAAACACCAATGCTTCCCTAAACCCTAAACTCCTAACCCTAGTTACTAGCGCCTAGCCTACATGGCTTCATTTTGCTGTCCTGATCTGTCAATTCTAGCCGCCTTCTTGACCCTCACCATATACAATTGCTTTGCAAACTATCCAAGGTGGGATCTTCCGTCGCAGATGATTCGGCCATGACAGATGCAGCGGCTATGTCAACTTTGCCAGAGGCAGCCATGAGCCGTGACAAGTTGGTTGCGGATGTCATGGTGCACTTCGAACGTAAAAGGCCCAGTTTGCAGCCGATATCTGGCCGTGCTACTTAAAAAGAGTCAGCTACTCCCAAAGCATACATTGCAAGCTCAACTCGGCCTGCAGCAAGCCACCAAGGCCATGGAGGGCCGCAGCAATTCCTGATGCACCAGTTTCCCAACCAAGAATCACGTAATGACTTTGCGGAGTGGCTACGTGCAGAGATCGAAGAGGACACTGTCCCCCATGTCAAGAATGCAGGTGATCTTCCTGTCGTTGTGCCGGGAGAAGAAGAGTCCGAGACTCCTGCTTACGTCCATCCCTGCATGTTCAGCTTCTCAAAAGATTGCTCGCAGTGCGGGCCTGTGGAGTTACACAAAGCAAGATCCCTCATGGAGCAGTTTGTGGTGGATGGATTTGTGTCATCTTCAGAGCCAATCATGCTGAAGAAGCCCGTGCCTTTGAGGGCATATTGCACCCTAAGTCCTTCATCTGAAGTTCTCGACAAACTCAATAACCAGGGAGAACCGAAAAGACTGCCCCAAAGGAAAACATCATCTATGGGATGCAGCCAATAACAAACCGAAAGAAATTACAGCCTCTAATAAGCCCGAACGCAGCGCCTAAACCCTGAATCACAAGACTTGAGCCCAGAAATCTTGAATCCCGAAACCCTGAACACCAAGCCCAAAATCCTGAAGCCAAAGCCCTTGAACTGTAAATACAGCAACCCCCCAATCAAGGATCACACAAAAGCAGCCACGACTAAACTTGTGAAGGTATTAGGAAGAGCACATTTGTAGGCTGTTGTTCGAGTTACAAGAGTATAGATGATATGTCAGCTGGATGTCTTCTCGGATTGGACACCTACCTTGGTCACATGTCTTATGGCCCACCCAAAGCACAACACAAACCTTACCAAGGCAACCAATGGTCCCATTGGAGACTTCTCGCTGATCTTCATCAAAGGGCGATCTCGCATCGTCTCCTGTTTGGCCATGCTCGCTTTCTTTAAAATGGAGGGGCTTTCTGTTTTGCAGGCGGGTATGTAGGTGTCACCGAATCACGTCTGTTGGTAACAAAATAGTTTATGCACGAACTGGCAGGCATGCTTCCCGTTGGCAAAGAGTCTTCCTCGTATTGCAGTCAAGTGCCTTCAGCTTGGTGATGCACGAGAAGAGCTGCTGCAGCCTTAACATGCTAGAGGATATTGAAAAGGCTTCTACAAGACCATGTGTCCTGTGCTTCTGAAGCACTGGGCTGTGACAGGTTCTACAATCTGAAAGTGTTGTCGAGAAGCTCCATTCGCGAGCCGCCGACACCGATAACCTGGCTCAACGGGTTGTTGAGTCTGAGTCGAAGCGGCGGGTGGGAGAGCGAGGCTGTGATTAAGCAGTGGAATGAGTCTGCTGCCAAATCTGACCGACTAACGGGGGCTAAATTCATGTGCGTTCGAAACATCTTGGACCTCGACTCCGGCATTCGAGCACACATCATTGCGGCTGTGAACAAGCACGGATGGAAAGGACATTAATTAAACTGATGCTACCAGAATGCTTATGCTACATAGTTGTAGACTTCCAGAACACCCTGGCCACAGGATGTCCATACAATGATGATTCACTCTCGAGCAAGAAGCTGCTCCCGGGGCATGCTTTCAAGTCGGCCAAAGTGAACAAGCAGTCAAGCTGGATCAAATATGGTAAAGTGACAGCTGAGAGTGCAGGGTATGTGTTCCAATTCACGAATGCGGTGCACGAAGACACCCCGCTCAAGATACGTCAGAAAGCCTCAAAGGCAATCTTGGAACAACGATCCGAGCATTGTGGCTTGCTCGCAAACTGCCAATGCAAGTAGCAATCACAATCACAAACTTGTTTATGCCAAAATAACCGATGAACTGCATGGCTGAGGTGCACTTGCTGTGGCTTTGCGAGATGAAGTGGCCGCACAGATTCCCAATGTCGAAGACTTTGTGAACAAGAGGCCATTGTGAACCCTTAACCCAGAAACCCTACACCATAAGCCCTAAACCCATGAGTGTCCAAGTCCTAGAACCTGAAACCTAATCCATTTTGTGATCTGAATACCTTGAACGAAACAAAACAGAATTGTGAAGTCCCCAAATAGGACTCCCAAGGGCACTCGAGCCAGAACCCCCAAGCCGGCCTTGGGTCGAGGTGGCTGGGTCGCCTGGCCAAGGGCGATGTGGGCCTAGAAGTGGAACTGGGCACGGCAGTGGGAGCAAAGGACCCTTCTTATGGACCCAGAAATTGCTCTAGTCTCTAGACTGCACAATTCAATAGATTGGAGTTTAGATTGTGCTTTGCGGTACAGTGACATAGAACAGAAACTACCATCTTCATTGCCAATGAGGTTTGAAGCAGCTCTTGGATGAGTTCACAGGCAGCAAGCCCTCCGAGTCCAAATCCGCAGCCTCCTTCAACCTCGATCACGCTCAGCAGGCCGTGGACGAGAAAACCTTTGCTTTACTCATGCAGGAGATGGAGTTCGATATGCAGGCCTTCGCTGTGTATCTGGCCAATTCACAGTCACATGCATCGGCTGTTGAACACCAGAAAAACATGTGGGGCAAGAAGCTTTTGGACGAATCAAGAGCCGCCGCCGATGCATATCTAGATCATCACGTGACCTGCCTGATATTCTAGGAACTTGCACAGGGCACAACATGAGACATACCAGTTTATACGTTCTTGTCTTGAGCTTGCGTAGCTGGGCCCAGGTGACAGCCTTCGTTTGGGACTCAAACCCCGGTGGAGCCGGGCACGATCCTGGAATGCTGGGAATCACAGCTTACAAGGAGGACCAGGGGAGTCGCGAGAAGACCCGTCATCTTCAGGGCACTGTGCTTCTGCTGCATTAGGGTTAGTAGAGGTGCCACTTGCTGCCAGCTTGTGTGTCAGCACAGAAAGAAAACCAGCCCAAACCACAAACTCACCCGACATCCCCAACAGTGTCTATGTCAGGTGCAAGTGGCACTGGTGAACTACATCGCGCCGGCCCTCATAAAAGCTGAGCATCAGGCTGCAATGCTCAAGGTCATGCAGCACTCCCTGGCAGACCTGCAGAATGTGGCCGTGTTCCTATCCCCGTTGTTTTCCTACAAAAAGAATGGGAGGTACAATGAGGAGAAGGCGGTGCTCCAGCGTGTGTCCATGACCGGCGCTCAAATGGACCGGGGATTCAGCTTGATCTTCAATGACAAGCTTGACCTGCCCTTAATAAACCCGAAGCCAAGTGCTGCACATAACCTGCAAAGTGGACGAGAGTTGATTCGACTTTACTAAGGACGAACGTGATGATAGGCCATTGGTATACCCCGGGCATCTCCTTATGTCCCCGTCCACGGACGTTCAGACCAATGGAAATGTCTTGTGGAAGAAGTCCTCCCTGTTCCGCCGTTCCCGCACGAATGAAGCAAGCCAGGTTTCTGGGAAAGACATGATCATGATGGAGAATGTGGGCGAGTCAGTGTTACCCGGCTCAACTTCTGTGGAAATGGCCACCACAGTGAAAGGTGCAATGAAGTGGGCACAGATCGGGCACGATGCCGCCCTGAAGCTTCTCCAATCCCTCTTGGTGTCTTGGTTTGTTGAAGTGGGAGTTATGACTGCCCCTACAACTGATTTTCGTGTGTCTTACTGCTCCAGCAAGGATGGGCTCGACTTCCCAGCCAAAATGGGTCTCGACTTGCTTGACCTCAACCCTCTTGTGGGCAATTTCCTGTCGGTGCCTAGACTAAAGAGATAAGGTTTAGGGTTTAGGGTGTAGGGTTTAGGGTTTGGGTGGTGGTCCAAAGTGCACTGAGGCTTATGTGGACATTCAACAGGGATCCAATGTCTCGCTCCATTATGTGTGCTTCCTGACGGATGACGAGCAGCATGAATGGATGATGACATACTACAGAGATGTCCTTGCTGACAAGTTCCGTGAGGGCAAGCTCAAGGTTCCGGGACATTCCAAGTACAGCCCTAAGATATTCTCCAAAATAGGACATGCCAGTCTTCTAATTGGGCATATATAAGGTCCGCCTCCCAGCCGCCAGCCGAGCACATCGTGGCCGCCCCACAGGCGCCGACCCTGAAAAGGCTGACTATTGTCAAGGACTGCAGTTGAAAGCTTCGAGAGGATTTACGGTTTAGGGTGGTTCCAGCCCAAGTCGTCCTACCCATATGTAAGCTTTCTGCACCCTAAAAGCTTGCTACTTACAATTCCTGAAGTCTAGATAAAGCCTTGGCCTTAACCCGACACCTTAAGCCTTAAGCCATAAAACCCTAAACTCCAAACCCTTAGCGCAGGATTCCAACGGGGTCCCCAAGACCTTGACCGTGCCAGAGCCACTGGTGAAACAGTGGTACCACAACCAATTCCACGGGAGTGCATTCCGAAAGGTCATGGATTCGATTGTTGAGAAATTCGGCGCGGCTGAAATCTCCGAATCCCTTGAGAAAAAGAGAGCTATGTTTGGAGGACCACAGCCATCAGCAAAGCGCACGAAAGTGGACTTGCAAGCAGTGGACCTCGACAAAGTGACCGGAACAGAAGTCGCAAAGGCCAGACGGCATCAACATGCATGAGACACAAGCCCAGTGCTTCCTTCGAAAACCTTAATTTATTCACCCCGAATACCAAACCCACAAACCCTTAGAGAATCCACAAAGCCCGACCCCCACTGCCTGCAGATGAACTTGCCGAACTTCAAGGTCGCTGCTGGCATGTCACCACCGGCCCTGAGCTTCCGGAGTGACCAGAAGATCTTCTTGATGAACAACAATCCCGAGGGTAAGAAGGCTACTTTGAGTCGTCAAAGTTGAACCATAATCCGCTTGAGCCTGCACTTACTACCTGAACACTGAGACTGTTAATGACTGAGACCTATCACCTGTCAGACAATACAACCCCGACCCCAAGCCCTAAGCCTCACAACTTGGTCAGCACCCATTAAGCCCTTTTGCGAGGTGACATTTCCTGAGGGCAGTGTGCTTGTGGGCTTTGGCAAGGGCAAGTGGGCACAGTTGAAGAAAGACGAGGAGCTCAACAAGGCTTCGGACCTGATGTTCACTATCACGGCCATGGACCAGAAGGTTCTGCACGAGAACCAGCTTGTCACAGTCAAGGATGCATTGGCTGGCAAAGCAGAACCCAGGGTCCAGTATCACAAGCTGGAGGACAAGCCAGGTAAGCCTGGTGAAAAGATTGTCAAGCAGGACCCTGCGATGGCACAATGTTCTCTAACCTTGCACTTTGGGGCTTTGGTTGCTGTGTCTACGTTTCTGATTTTTGACTACTTGGGATCTTTTGAAATATCCTAGATTTGATTGAATTTCCGATTGTGGCAGCGCCATTGCAAGCCTGGGAGTATGGGCCTAGGATTAAGGGAACGTCTTCGGGGGTTTATAGTTTATCTACTCAGACGAGGAGCACAGCGTGGTGTTCAAACCCGAGAAAAATCAGCTGAACAGCACCGAGAAGGTAACACCAGTTCTTGGGGCACTTTACGCAGAACCCGAATCGTGGAACACATCATTGACATCGGCTGTGTGGGTCGTGGTTCACTCGATCAATGGCTTGGGACCCGTGCGTCCTGTCATCATCATCCCCGCAACCTTCGAGCTGGATGGAATGAAAGCCGTTGAGTTGAAGAAGGCGTAGAGCCCTTCTGTTCGGAGCCGTGAGGGGAGCCTGCGCCACGTCCTGTGTGTGATGATTAAGTTCAATGATATAGCTTGTCAGCCTAGCCATAGTCATAAAGATTTGCGATACAGCAGGTGCATTTTGAGGCAACCCTTTGGCCCATCTACAGTCACTGCCCCCGGCCGCCTTGGAAAAAACAAACCCTCAACCTTGATCAGCTGCGACCGCGCAATCCCTGATTAGCTACAACTTTGCACTCTGACCCCTGAAGACTGAGAATACCCATATCCTCCTGCCAAGTGGACCCTTTTGGATAGTCAAAGCTTTTATGGCTAAGGAGTGCAGTTGGGGTGGTAGTTCCTGAGACCTTCCGTGTCAGATCTATGTGCCATGCAGCCCATAATCTGTCGGTACTTAAAGGATCATGGGACTTAGTAACTAGGGTTATAATTAGGATAACTATACTTATAACCCCAATTAAGGTACCTATAACCTTACTTACTAAGTCCCGTGATCCTCCAAGTAAAACTGAAGCTGACATTAAACTCAATCTTCCACTCTAGCCACATCCCCAAACTTTTCAAAGGTTCAGTGAAGCCCGGAAGCTGCCTGAACCAAGACAGTTGGGAATCTTCAATCCTGGGAACCTAAGGAGAAAGGAACGATGACAAAAGCCCTCAATCCCAAGCCTCCCTCGACCCTAAGCCCTAAGCGGCCTGAGGCCACATCAGCAACCAGCCGGCGATGGGCGAAGGGGCCACAAAGGGGATTCAGGCTTTGTGGAGTACCGCCTCTTAAGGAGTTTAAGACTCGGGCTTTGGATGTAGGGCCGAATCCTTAAAATCATAGGGCTGCGGGTTGCATTGTGGTCTTAGGGGAGAATTAAAAGCAGGGCCGTAGCGTTACACGTTGATCGGAATGTGTTGGTGAAGCAATATGTTTTAAGGGTGTTTGGTGTTCGATGTTTCGTGAAGGGTTTTATGGTTGTATTGGGTTTGTTTTTAAGGGAGCTAATAGTGATTTCGGAGTTGAGTGCTTATTGGTGAGGGCTTAGGGTTTAAGGGCACTAGTGAGACTAGGTTTACAGGTAGCTGACATTATCATGCACTGGAGTATGCTATAACATACTATAAAATACTATAATATACGACAACATATACTGTAATCTGCTACAATATACGACTGTACACTCTTAAGAGAGTGACCCTAGGTATCTGGAATGTGATCCGAAAGGGTTTGCAGGTTCGGAGATTTTCAACTGGCCTCTAGCAATCAATCCTCAATGTGACATTTCTAAACTACAGTAAAAAACCTACACCCTGCACCCCCCAACCCTTAAAAATCACCACCAAAACTATGCAGGCATGCACACAGACACAAACAAACTCCGCCAACAAAGCTCGTGACTTTCTCGGCTGGGCTGCGTGACTCGTGATGTTCAGGAGAACAGCCACCCGTGACATTCAGAGCATGAGCTTACATTGGCTGAGTTGGCAAATTTCATGCCGTGTCATTGAACTTGGTGCCACATTTCGGGCAGAAATTCCAATCAGGGTCCCGTTGCCTGCCACATTTCGTACAATAACTTTCAGCACTTCCTTCCTGTGGTGAAACTTTCGGGGAAACAGCTGCTACCACCCTGGCCAAGCCCTTAGAAACAGCTTCCTGCTGTTTTTCTTGACTAGGCTTGTAATAGTGACGCAACAACACCTCCTCCGTGGTGCCAGTCAACTGACTTATCACTGCCAGTGACACGTTCTGCTCACACAGTTCTGTAACAAGGGTTTTCTTCATACTGTGTGTGCCCAAGCGATCCAAATCAACGCCGTCAAATGAGTGGCTGGATTGCTGGCTATGTGCCTGTGCTCGCTCACGCTGAATAATGCCAGCTGCTTCACGGATTGCATTGTAGTATGCTTTCTCACTAATGGCTTTGTCCCAGTTTCGTCGGTCCAACCCTCCGCAAACTCGCCCAGGAAACAGGAGCATATGCTCATTGTTCAGGAACGCACGGTGCAGGTTCTGGCCCGGGTGTGGCCATGAGCTCTTGTCGTCACGGCCCTTCAAGGGCTCTAGAACCCAATGCCATAGCAGTGCCGCAAATCCTTCTGAGAGATAATTTTCTCTCACCGTTGTTTTGTCATTGCAGTCTGGAATGGCCACGCCTGGAGGATTCCCGGTCTCTGGGTTCAAATTCCGAAACCACTCTGTAGAGGCTTGCCTGGCTGCATCAGCTCTGTCTCCCAGGAACAGTTGTAACAAGCACAATGCACCCGCCCATGGACAATTAACCTGCTGCACAAGAGTGCGGAAAAGGATTCCAACCTGCATTGCCGTGAGAGGCACCCTGCCTTTCGCATTGCGTTTTGCCCGACTGCTCGTCTTCTCAGTCTGTGCTCCTTGCTGTAGCTTGCAGCTGTGCAAATGCGACTTGGAGCAGAACCTGACGGTCTGCACGTGCTTCCTCAAGGGTCGGCACTGCTGAAGGTTGACATTCTTGATGCTGAGCACATGCGAAGAGTTTTTGCAATCAATGTCCAGCTTTGTGCATTTACGATAGCCACACTGAATGCTCGGACTCTTCCTTTCAGCCTTCTTGCACGTCCTCTTGCACACCCTCGCATTGCTGGGGTGGCATGTCTTGGCCATCCCGGGGACCAGAAGACAGAAACAGGCTTGGGCGTGGGCGGCTGTGTGGTGAAACAGTGAAACAGGCTTGAACCAGACTTCGGAAGGTGAAACAGTGGAAGGTGAAACAGTGAAACAGGCTCTTCCAGACTTGACCCTCGCATTGTCCGTGAACCAGACTTTTCCGAACAGGCCGACTTTCCAAGCAGACTTCGGGAAAGTCTGCGCATTTCCCCCGGGAGGTGGCACTTCTGAAAGCACTTCTGAAAGCACTTCTGGAAATGGGGGGTTCCAGAAGTGCCCAATCTGCTGGGAGGGGTGCACTGTGGGGGGTTCCAGAAGTGCCGGGGGTTCCAGAAGTGCCCAATCTGCTGGGAGGGGTGCACTGTGCCCAATCTGCTGGGAGTGCCCAATCTGCTGGGAGGGGTGCACTGATTCGCAAAATCCGCTGGGAGGGGCAAATCCCCTGGGAGGGGAGCAAAGATTCCAGGTCCGGAACTGGCAAATGCCTGCTCAGGTTGGAGGGGAACAGAACAGACAGGGGGAATGGCGACAGCACGCAAACGGATCTGCTGTACAGCTGTACAACGTGCACAAGGAACCCGCAACACAACTCAAGCAACAGGTGCTGGCATTCTGTGTAATTGATGCTGCATTCTCAAGCACCGTGTGTCTTCCCTTGTGACCATATGTCCCCCTCAATGATGTATGCTCAAAAACACAGCATCTGTCCTTGTGACCTGATGTTCCCCAGGGTCCAAATCACTTCCAGATACAACCATATATGGTCCCCAAAGCCCACATCACTTCCAGGCGCACCCGAAACATCTAAGCCACCAGACGTCCGAAGCTCCACACATGGACAACAAATCCAGTTTAGGGGTCTTACGGTTTTAAGTTCTTTTAGGGGGTTTGGGGGCTGAAGGACACTACTGCATACATCAAGATTGCAGGGGGGAAAGGAGCTAAAGTTGAGAGCGCCTTTGGGGTTTCTAGTAGTAGTAGTAGTAGTAGTAGTAGTAGTAGTAGTAGTAGTAGTCGTCGTAGTAGTAGTAGTAGTAGTAGTAGCAGTAGCAGCAGCAGTAGTAGTAGTAGTAGTAGTAGTAGTAGTAGTAGTAGTAAAATTAAAGAGCTCTTCTTCAGAGCTCTTTTAGTAGGAGTAGGTAGTCGTACAAGTATTACTAAGAACAACCTCTTGAGTGATCCCTTTCAGTAGTTGTAGTAGTAGTAGAAGTAGTAGAGGAGAACACTTCTTCAGTGCTCCGTATGTCTGTGGTACGAGTACTAGTAGACTTAGCAAAAGAAGTCGTAGCGGTAGGTAATAGTGTAGAAAACTAATTACTTCAGCTCTCAAACCTATTCCCTGGAACTCCAGCTGCCAGCCTCCAGCTCACCCCTCAGAGTGGTGCCGGTCGCCTCATGGACACTGTCATTGAAAGGGATGCCCCCCTGAAGGCCTTAAACCCCGAACCATCATCGCACCGGGCTGAAATCGCGGGTTTAGGGGTCTTGCGGTTTTAAAGGAATTTAAGGGGTTTAAGGGTTTGAAGACACGACCACAAGTAAAGAGCATACTTACTGCATACGCGAGGGTCGCATATGGGAGTTTCCGAAAGTTAAGGGTACTGTGCATTTTAGGGTCCTTATATGGTAGAAGCCCAGAAGTTGGAAACCCAAAAGCCTCAATCCTTCAGATTAATGTATAGGGCATCCCAGCACTATTTGGCCTTAAATCGGTTTCCAACTTTATGGAGTTTGCTGTAATAAGTAGGGTACCATATTAGGGTCCCCTATTTTCGGAAACTCCACCAAGCGTCCACCTACTCCCAGAAGTTTCCTGACATCAGGACCGAATTTTCCGAACGTCCAATAACAGCATGAAGCTTCGCAGCAGCGGATGTGCTATGTCTTGCAGACTCGCTTCCTCTCTTGTGAAGCAGACAGCTCTAAATCTAAACCTCTCAACTCCTCAGCCTAAAGTCTAATAAGCCCTAAACCCGAACCTAGAAGCCCAAAGCCCAAACCACAACACCTCTCAAACTCAAAAAAATGACACAAACCTAAACCCTAAACTGCAAAAGCCACAAACCTGAACACCTCTTTTCGCTCTCAGCCCCCAAACCCCCAAACCCTATAAACCCTACGCCCTACACACTCTATGAACCCCTCTTCCCCCTCTTTCCCTCTATAATCCCTAAACCTTAAACCCTTAGCCTTAAACCCGCCTAAACCCCGCTTTCCCTCTCAGCTTCTGGCTACCGTGGCCATTTCCTTGCCAGGCTCATCGAAGGCAGCGGCCTCCAGAAGTTTCAGCATTGCAAGCAAGGCAGATCCCTTGAAAGACGCAGGGTGTAGGGTTTTGGTTTAGGGCTTGGGTTTGGGTTTAGAGTTTAGGGTTTAGGATTTAGGGTTTAGGAGTTTAGGGTTTAGGGTATGGAGTTTCCTGGTTGGTTTGGGAAGTTTCAGGGCTTATGCCTATGTGTGCCAGCATTGGCGGGTCATCACCACCCCACCCCCGGGGAAGCGACGAAGTTCCGGGTTTACCCGTGGAACAGAAGTAAAGGTTTCAAAGGGGGGAAGGCACGCATATCGAGTTTAGGACAGACTTAGAGCTTGGAGTTTTGAGGTTTAGGGATGGGGTAGTCGGATAATATAGTGAACCCCCGAAAGGTGGAACATGACATTAGTGCGATAGCTTGCCTTCAGGGCATAAGGACAAGGATGTTCCAACTTTCTGGTTTTTTCTTTTGATGTAGGTCCAGGTGTGTGGCTGAGGAATTAGGGGAAGGGTTTAAGGCCACAGCCCGCAAGGCATGTGTAGAATAGCCAAAAAGCCCCCAAAACCATGGATCATTATCCCCGATGTTCTTTTGTGGGCAGGAAGAGGAGACACCCAGCTCCTGGTACCGGACCGTTTCTTGAAGTTCACGTCCATCCAGGCGGTCGAGCAGGGCTGAAGCTGTGCTTGGAGGGTCGGGGGACTAAGTAACGGGTTAAGTTATTCTATAGACTTACAATGACAAGTGCCATAACCCCAATTCGGATCCCTTTTGGGGTACTTATAAGTCTACTTACTAAGTCTCCCGACCCTCCAAGTGTAGAAGGCTCCAGAAGGTTCGGAAGTTCGGAGGTTTAGGGTTCAGGGCTTAGGGACGCCCAGTCCATGTACCCTAAGCCCTAAACTTCTTGTTCGTGCTATATTCTTACTTGTTAAGTGTTTGTGCGTTCTTGTATATGCATATGTAAGTGTGTATTATATATATATATGTTTTATTTTATACACGGAATAATTCTTGTTCAAGTGGGCATCGCCGGGCATGTTAGGCGTTTAGCTTTCGGCTTTTGCCGTGGTTTCCGGGCTTTCGGGTTTGGGGTTTGGAGTTTAAGAGGGGTTCGAGGTATTGGGGTTAGGGTTGATGCTGGCCTCCTTTTTCATGAAACCTATAGAACTGCACCCAGACTCCCAGTCCCTTGCCCGAGCGCGCCTGCTGGGCCCATCGTGCTGCGACGGGGTCGATCCATCCGTTCACCTCGCAAAGGTCGATGCCTCTTCTATCAACGGCTCGGGCCGCTTGTTTGTTGAATGCTTGTAACCCTACTCTAAACCCTAAACCGTTGTTACTGCACACTCGAAGACAGATCGGAACTCACCACACCCTTCCTCGGTCGCCCCTAAACTCAAATGACCACATATCTGCACTCGAAGGCCCAGGAAGCGCAACACGAAGCAACCTCGAGGAGTTTACATGCTTGATATATATACATATATATATATATATATATGTAAAATATATATATATATATATATATATATATATATATATATGTATATATATATATATATATATATGCATATCTCTTTCTCTCTCTCTCTCTCTCTCTCTCGCTGTCTTTCTCTCTCCCTCTCCGTCCGTCTGTCTGTCTATCTGTCTGGCTGTCTGTTTGCTTGTCAGCCTGCCTGCCTTCCAGGTACTCAAACAGTGGTGTTCGTAAAGACTATATGTACTCTGAATTGTTGACTGGTTTTCGACACCCTAAACTCGAAAATAAACCTAATTACTATTTGGGTCTTCGGACATTTCGTGGCCGATACTGACTCGGTACCAAGGCAGCCCTCAAAACCCTCACAGTCAATCTCCGAACTCTCAAACTGTAACCTCAATTCCCGCTCCATAAACAGATACCCTGAAAACAAAACCCTCTGCAAGCATTCCTTACTTAGTGGCTCTCCGAGATGCTGAAACGAGAATGAGGTCACTCTCCTCTACCCGATGAAGTCCTACACCAAGCATCCTAACCCTAAACCCCTATAAACCCTAAACCCCTAAACCCTAAATCTTGAACCCTAGGCCCTAAACCCCAATCCTAAACCCTAAGCCCGACGCCTTTCAACCCGAACGGCCAAATTAAAATCGGAGACCCATCCGAAACCCTAAACCCTAAACTCTTCAACCGCTAAACCCTAAACCCTAAACCCTTAAACCCCTAAACCCTAAACCCCTAAACCCTAAAACCCCCAATCCCCTAAACCCCGAAATCCCTTAACCTTAAAGCCCAACCCTCCTGAACCGAAAGGCCTCGCTGCCAGCCGTCCGTTGTCTGAGGGTGGATGATCTGCTGAGATAGCCGCCTGCCCAGAGCTTCCAAAACTCCGTAATTAAGGAATATTCCTTAAATCACATTAGGGGTCCTACTATGATTTAAGGTATATTCCTTAATTAAGGGGTTTTGGAGTCTCTGGGTGGCCGATTGTGACATCGCCCAGAGGCCCCAAAGTAGTTCCTTTTGCTCCTGGGAATACCACGAAAATTCGAGAAGATATGCACTGGTCCCTATCGTATCTCAGTGAACTCCTGGGAATACCACGAAAATTCGAGAAGACATGCACTAGTCACCAGCATGGCCGATATCAAGAGGAAACAAGAGCCTGGACCCTGGAACTATCAAGAACCCATCATCGTGTGCTTCAGGTGTTGTGCACATAGCCACACAGTGTTCACAACCCTGCTCTTGGGGCCTCTCATGCTGCGGTTGTGGTGTTGCTACAGGCTGTCGGTGCAGAGTTTACAGATCCAGATGTAACTTATGCAATTTGGGCCTGGCCCCAAGTTGGGACGTTCTAGTGTGATTCTACAGGCTGGGGACCAATTGTGCCTCTTCAATTGAATGAGGGCAACAGATGCGGGCCGGGAGGTTAAATCTCTAAACACCCAATACCCTTAGCCCTGAACTCCCTGAACAAGTAGTTCATGTGCCCCCAAACTTTCCAAAGCCCAAAACGAAAGCCTTACACCGTATTATTAAGCGCCGACACCCAGGAACTCCAAAGCCCCTGAACGCCCAAATAGTATTCCTTAACCAAAAACCCAGGGTATGAAGTACAGTACGGGTTTTGAGTTCTTTGGGTCGAGCTTTGGGCTCCAGGAAGCAAACTCAAAGAGAATCAGGGACATTCCTTGATGGGAGTGATTGGGCCTTGACAGCTCAACATCCCCTTCACACGGCTTAGCTAGTTAATCAGCTGTCTGATGACAGGCGAGTTGCGAACCTCAGCGCGGTGAGCAGTCAGCAGCAGCGGCACAGCAGCTATTAGCCTGCCGATCGGGAGGCTTCCGGTTTGCTGGGGGCCTTCAGCACTTCTTCAGTGCTGGCAGGCACCTGGAAAGGCCATGAGCACTTCTTCAGTGCTCGGTGTTGGCTTTGGGTTTAGGGGCTAGTTAGGGCTTTTAGGTTGAGGGGTTAAGGTCTAGGGTTTAGCGGTCAGTTAGGATTTTAGGTTGAGGGTTTAAAGTTCAGGTTTTGGCTGAAAGCTCCTCCGTTGTGCAACAGTGTCTCATAAATAAGTTGGGCGGATCTGTGCCCTGTGTAGATTTTTCAACACAATGTGGTTGTCACAAGTGTTGGACTGGGAATGATAATGGTGAGCTGTGAGAGTCTTCAACCCTAAACCCGAGACTCTGAGCCCTATGTCACTCTAGAAGTCGAAGTTCGCAATCCATAACAATATTAGTTACCATGCTGTCTTCACAATCTGAAACCGCACACCCCTAACTCCTGACTTTTCCTATGTAACTTAGCCTAATCGACTCGTTTTTAGAGCCTGCACCCCGGGACCCGAAACACATCGTAAGCCACTAAACAATCCCGTGTCTATATAATATGTAACCTGAGACCTTACACCCTTAGGCCCCGAACCCCCGATAGCCCCCAACCTAAGTGACCCCAGTGGCCCTAGTGCCTCAGCAGCCCCAGCCTTCAGCACATCCAAACAGTCTAAGCATTGTTTTGCCCCAATGCCCTGACCACCCCCACTCACCTTCAACCAAGCAGGCTCTAAGTCCTGAGGCCCCCTCCCCAACCCCTTTATATTCAAAGCCCCTACGCCTCTAAACAAAGTGCATCCCAAAGCTTTGAAACCCTAAGGCTTCTTATGCTGTCTACAAGCTAAACCTTATACCCTAAGCCCCAAACCTAATCCCGGGCATTTCAGCTCTTCTGCAGAGCTGGGAGTCTTGGGGGGCCTCATCAGCACTTGTTCAGTGCTGCCTACTCCCTTACTGCCCTTCCCCCAGCCTGCACGGCGAGCAGCAGCCACAGATGCACCGCAGGTTCAGGGTTTTTGGGGTAGTCTCAGCAATTTTAGGGTTTTAAGATCATAAAGTACATCAGATCCAGGGTTACTAACGAGATCAGGATCAGGGGTTTGGATCTAGTCCAGGGTATAAAGGGTTACTACCGAGAGCTGGGGTTTGGGTGTAGGGTTTCAGGTGTTCTTTTAAGATTAGAAGGTACATATAGGGTTCAGGAACGAGAGGTTTATAATACGGACCGGGGTTTGGGCGTGGGCCAGGGGTTCTCAAAGTTTACAAGATGTTTTCAACTCAATCACAATGGTCAAAGGTTCAAGAACGAGAGATTTAGGATGCGGGGGCCTGGTTACGGGGCAGGGATTCTAAAGGGTTTAGGGACGTCAGAAGGGTTTAGGGTTTTGGGTTTTCAAGAGGTCAGCCTATGTTTGGGTGGAGGGCAAGGGCTGTTTAATGTGTCAACCCAATGAGTAAACTAATGCATACATGTCAACCATGTTTGTAGAAAGCTTTGTTGGTTTGTGCGACAAATCCAAAGATTCGGTGGCAAAACAAATCATGGCGAAATAATCTTCGAGTGTTTCAAAATATTTTTTGGCCTGTGATAAACGTAAGCAATTTCTCGAGAAGAGAACCAATCTGCCAAAACAAACATGTGTGTTTTTTGGTGACAGCATTGCACACATGACCATGATTCGGCCATCGTTTGCTCGTTTTGTCACAACCCACGAACTGTGCAATGTCAACTTTGCCACTGCCCTTGCAGTTGTTTTGAGCCAAAACCTACCACCCCAAATCAAAAAACCTATCACCCCAAATGCTTAAACAAGGATTACAGGCCCTGCGCCTGGTGAGGACACTCCAGACTTCGGGGGAAGCAACTCCGAAGGAGAGCGGGAAGCCCCGCCCGCTGCTGCTGCAGCTTCTTCCTCAGCGGGGTCACCCCTGCCAAGAAAGAAGAGCCGGCAGAGCGGGTTGCCCCGCCTGCCTCCGCAGAGGCGGCCGCAGAGCCAGCCGAGGAGGCAAAGCCTAAGGCCGAACCGGAGGCCGAGGCAAAAGAAGAGAGCTCTGGAAGCCCCAGCTCCGAAGCTGGGCAGGAGCAAACAGCCCCGGCGAGTGGACCCACGGAGGCCACCCCGGAGGCAGAGCCGAAGGCCCTACCGAGAGGTGCTCCGGCAGCCAAAAGCACCGACGGTGAAGGCGCCGCCACCTCACTTGGGACCACCGCCTCCACTGAAGGAGGAACCCAAGGCCGCACAGCCAGGGCCAGCAGAGCCCGAGGCTGCGGTACCTCCCGCGCCTCGGGAGGAAGCTCCGGAGCAGGAGCAAGAGCCCACCTCGCCAGCCGACGAAGGTGAGGAAGAGGAGTCCGAAGAGGAGAGCTCCGAGGGCCAAGGACCGTGCCAGTTCCTGAACGGACTCAGGCACGCGGCTCGCAACAGGCCAGAGACCCCTTGGGAAGGCAACCCAAGGCTGGCAGAGCAGTACGGAGAAGCCCTGGTCTTGCTAGACGAGATCAGCCAGGCTATCTTCGACGCCTCAAGAGATGAGCCAGCAGCCGGCTTATCCGCCCCTGCAGGGCGACCCCGTGGTCGAGGCTCTGCGCGGGGAAGTCGCAACCCTTAGGGGGTTGTTGGAGAGCCAAGCGCAGCAGCTGCAGGCTGCGATTGGCGAGTTGTCGGCCCAGAGACAACAGGGCCTAGCTGCAGCAGCCGCTACGGCGGCAGCCGCCACGGCGGCACCCGCCCCTGCGTCGCAGGCGAGCGGTGGAGGGCACTTGCTCAAGAGCATGCGGCTCCCAACTTCCCTTAAGGGGAGAGACGACTGGGAGCGCTTTGCCTTTCAGGCAGAGTCTTACCTGGCGGTCGTGGACACCAGGTATCCAGCAGAGCTGGAAATAGCTCGAAAGTGCAAGGCGCCACTCCAAATGGCAGCCATGACCGAGGAAGTGCGGACCCTTAGCGTCCGCCTCTTCGGCATGCTGGGCAGCTGGACCCAGGACTCCGCCACAGCTGTAAAGCTGGCGCGCGGAGTGAAGGGCCAAAATGGGTTCGAGCTCTGGCGTCTCCTGTGGCAGGAGCACAACCCAGAGAACGAGTCCAAGAACCTCACCTGGAGGCGGACCCTGCTGATGCCGAAGTTCCCGCCAAAGGAGAGTGACTTCTCCTTGGCTCTGCAGGAATGGGAGGCAGATGTGGACCGCTACGCCTCCGAGTATGGCGCAGGGCGCGCCCTAGCAGACGAAGATCTGCGGGCAGTGCTGGTGACCGAGAGCCCCACCGCTCTTCGGCAACACCTCGCTATGCACGCGGCGAGTCTTTCGACTTATGCCGAGGTGAGGGAAGTGGTGGTGAGCTACTTGCAAGCCAAAAGGGTCTGGACCCCGAGTGCGGGCTACGCCGCCTCCTCCCGAAGGGATCCTAACGCCATGGACATTGGCAGAATAGGGGACCGAGACGGGAAGGATGGAAAAGGCAAAGGTGACAAAGGCAAAAAGGGGGACAAAGACCACAAGAAGGGCAAGGGCGACCACAACGACAAAGGCAAGAAAGGGGACAAAAAGGGGAACCAGCAAGGAGGCAGAGACGGCAAAGAGAGATGCCCCATCTGCTGGAAAACGGGGCACACCGTAAAAGAGTGCTGGTTCAACGCCAAAGGAAAAGGCAAAGGCACCAAGGGCCAGGTGGCCCAAGTGGCCGACGACGCGGCCACGACGGTGTCAACAGCTTCCTTGGCGACTGCGGGTCCCTCCGCGTCCCAAGTTGGGGGAAGCACCGGCGGCTCTGGCGGCAAAGGCCAGGTGCGCCAGGTGCGCGACGACCGCATCTTAGGTGTGCGGTTTGCCCCGCCTCACGACACCGAGCCAGAGGAGGACAAAATCCTCAAGGTGTCGGGGAGTCTTCTTGTGGACTCCGGGGCGTGTGTGTCCGTCTGCAGGCCCGAGGCGTTTCCCGACCTGCAGCCCGCGGGCCCACCAAAGAGCCTTTACTCGGTGGACAACAGCCGCCTGAAAACAAAGGGCCGTGTCCAGCCGAGCCTCCTCTTAGGGGAGGAGCGTCAGTCCTGCAAGGTCAACTTTGAGGTGACCGAGGACATAGAGGATGAAATCCTCAGCATCAGCCGTGCTGTTGAGGCCGGTGCGGGCATTTGGCTCCACCGAGAGGACAGCCACATTTTGTGGCCCGACGGCGTCCGAGCCTCGATCCTCAAGAGAGGGTCACAGTTCCTCCTACCCTACGAGGGAGCTCCCGCCGGGGTCAACAAACCGGGTGGCACCGGTGGCGGCAGAGCCACCAAACCCAGGCAAGGACCTGGGACACCACGAGTACATCCCGGAGCACGACCTCGAAGCTCGAGAGGTAGAGGACGCGGCGATGGAAGCAGCAGCCGACGAAGAGGCCGCAGCTGCTGAAGAGGAGGAGGCTGCGGGAAACCCCGCCCCTCTAGAGGAGCAGGCCGAGCAGCCTGACTCCAGGCCACGCGGCCTAAGGGCACCGCGCAACCCCACGGCGCAGGAACGCGCCGAGCACGAGCTCACTCACACGCCCTACCAGGCGTGGTGCGAGAAGTGCGTGGAGGGAAAGGCGCGCGAGGACCCTCACCGCCGCCGTGAGCCCTCGGATGATCCGGTGACGCCGCTTGTCACCATGGATTATCAGTTCTACAGCCGGGACGGGAAAGAAGTTGAGGAAGAAGCGTCGCTTGCCACGGTGCTGAACCTCACAGACAGGGCCACTGGCTGGACTCTGTCAGTTCCCGTGGCGCACAAAGGGCACAGACACGCGGCTTACGCCGCAGGGCTTGTGGAGCAGTTCGTGGACCGCCTGGGGTACGACAAGTTCACCCTGCAGGCCGACCAAGAGAACGCTATAGCCTCTGTGGCCCGTGCGGTCCACCGCCGGCTGGGAGCTGCTAGGGTGCGTCTTCGGGACGCCCCTCGCGGGTCACACCAAAGCCAAGGATCCGTGGAGGGAAGGAACGCACACCTAGCAGGTGAAGTTCGCACTTGGCTTTCGCAGCTAAGAGCGGACTACCCCGCCTTAGAGTGGGACACTTCGTCCAACCTGTTCCCGTGGCTGGTCAGGCACGTGGCCTGGCTGCAAGCCCGGTTCGGGACCAAGTCGACGGACGGGGTGACACCATATCGGGCAGCCACTGGCACCGACTATGGTGGAGCACTTTGCTCCTTTGGAGAAACCGTTCTAGCTAAGCTCCCGAGGCCCGGGAACAAAGCGCAGGTGCGCTGGGTCAAAGGGGTCTGGGCCGGCAAGCTGGAGCGCGACGACTCCCACGTGGTGCTAACCGAAGCGGGCGCACTCAACGTGAGGAGCGTCAGGCGACTCCCGCCGGAGACCCGACACCAGACGGCAGCCGTTCTTAAAGCGTGCGGCCTGCCTTAGAACCCTAGATTTGGCCGCTCAGCGCCAGCAGAGCGCAGCGAGCCGATGATGGTTCCAATCCGAAGAAACGGAGCGGCTAGAACCGCCCGGTGAGCGCTGGCTCTTCAGCGACGGGCCGCGGCCCGACGACGAGGCCCTCTTAGTCGAAGGGGCCGAGCAGGCCAGCAGGCTCCCGGACGCCAGCCCTACCGAGGAGCTGGCCAACGCAGAAATACCGGACTACGAGCCGTCCGACGTGGAGGCAGGACCTTCCGCAGCAAGCGCGCTGCCGCAACAAGCGGCAAGCCCCGCCCCAGCCGCCAACGACGGCTCAGGCGAAGGGGGGCAGAAGCGCGACTCTGCGGGTTCCTCCGCGAGCGCAGCGGCAGCACAGCAGCCGCCTGCAGCAAAGAGCCGGGTGGAGCCCAAAAAGGCACCGCGGCTAGGAGCGCTCACAGAGCGCGAGGTGTGGCAGCACATCGCTGCCTTAGCCGACCCGCCGCTCACCAACCACAAGGGCGAGCGGGACGCGTGGGTTGAGCAGGTGACAGACCTGCTAGACCGGATGCTCGACCCCAAGCAGGTCGAGCAGGCACGCAAGGAGCAGCTAAGAAAGCTGTGGGACCGAGGCGCTTTCACGCCCGTGCTGCGGTCTGAAGTACCGCGCGGGGCGCAACTGTTCAGGGCAAAGTGGGTCGACAAGTGCGACAAAGGGCGGTACAAGTCAAGGTGTACCTGTGCCGACGTCAAGGCCCGCTACAGCCCAGAACAGGAAGCTGGCTTGGACGTTTTCGTCCCAACGCCAACGCCCGAGAGTCACTCCCTACTTGAGGTAGCAGCGCTACACAACGAGGGGTGGGTCACAAGGTCTCTGGATATTGTGGCCGCCTTCCTCATAGGGAGGGACCGCGGTGCGGCGGAAGGCCGCCCGGTCTACATGCATGCGCCTGTGGAGTGGCGCGAGCTCTTTGACCAATGGGTCTTGGAGCAGCCTGCAAAGGACCAGCAGTGGTACCGAGACCACTTCCGGGACTTTGTGTTCCGAGTGGACGGCAACCTCTACGGCCGAAGAACGGCTGGTTCCGTCTACAGGGACGAGCTGGAAGAAGTCCTCACCGGCAAGCTGGCCAAGGACTACGACTTCCAGCGTGGCGTGAAGGACCCGTGCGTGTACCTAGACCGCCGGTCCGGCCTGATCCTTCTCCACCATGTCGACGACATCCGTGTCGCAGGCCCCAAGGCCGCAGTGCTCAAGTTCACGGAGGTGGACCTCCCGACGCACTGTGAGATAACGGTGGGAGAACTGGAAGAGCCGGGCACAGCGGTGGAGGTCCTGGGAAGGACCAAGGTGCGCACAGAGGACTCTATCCTCACGCTGCCCGACAGCAAGCACGCAGAGAATGTGTGCGAGCAGCTGGGCATCGGTCCAAAAGACAAGGGGACCGTGCCTAGCAAACCTCTAGACCTGACCAAGGTCGAGGAGCTCTCTGCGGGTGACGCCGCGAGGTTCCGCAGCGCCGTGGGTAGCGCTATCTACCTATCGGCGGACAGGCGAGACATACAGTTCGCCGTGAAAGAGCTGGCACGAAGGATGCAGAACCCCAGGGTCTGCGACTGGCTCGCTGCGGAAACCCTCGCGCGATACCTGCGGGCAACCCCGCGGTTTGGAAGGGTGGTTGTGCTGGACCCCACGTCCAAGAGCACAGCCCTTCTGAACTTGGAGGTCTACTCCGACTCCGACTGGGCAGGGTGCCCAGAAACGAGAAGGAGCACAGACAACATAGTTGCCTGTCTCGGGGGAGCAGTCATCCAGACAAGCTGCCAGACACAGCCTGGCCTCCCAGCCACCTCCAGCGGAGACGCGGAGATCCGGGGAGTGTCAAGAGCAGCAAGGGAGGCTGTCTTCCTACGAGAGCTTGCGGAGAAGGACTTTGCCCTAGCCTGCGGCGTGCCGCGGCTCTGGGCAGACTCCGCAGCTTCGATCGGAGCCGCCAAGCGAATAGGCCCAGGGTCCAAGCTGAGACACCTGGAAGTCGCGGAATTCTTTGTTCAAGGCGCGCTCAGAGCCAAACTTCTCGAACTGAGAAAAGTTAAGGGAACCGAAAACCCGGCAAACTTCGCTACCAAGCACGCGAAGACTGGACCGGAGGTGCGGCAATCCCTGCCCTCCATGGGCATGGTGGACCTCGATGCGGTCGCAGGCGCCACCGAGGCTCTGGCCCAAAAGGGCACGATCAAGTCGATCCAGGCTAGCCCCTGCAAGATGAGACCGCCGACCAAGCTTGCAAGCTCGGCGCTCATGGCCACAATCGTGGCGCTGCAGGTTCGACCTGCTAAGGCCCAAGGGCACGACTTCGCAGAGCTGGTGCTCGGCTTCGCGGCCCTAGGCTTCCTGGCCTTCCTGTGGATGCTTTGGGGTTTAGTCTCCTGGCTCTGCAGGTGCAGGCGTGACAGGCAGGAGCCGGAGCCCGAGGAAGAAATCGAGCACCACGCCGAGCGTGCCGAAGAGCCGCCGCGTGCAGCCCGAAGGGCCACGGAGGTCTGGCTAGGGCCAGAAGCGCCGCAAGAGGCGCAAGAGGAAAGGAGGGAGCAACAGCCTAGGGGGGCTCAGGAGCCAGAACCTGAGGGTGAGCGGACTCCAGGTCCGCCCCCTGTGGCAGACGCACCACCACCACCACCGCCCGCTGCACCAAGAGTGCGGCGCAGGCGTAGGGGACCGGAACCCCTTTCGGGGGACGACGAGCATCTCTACGAGACAGCCCGCGGTGACAAGATCCATCTTTTCACCAACTGCAATGGGCTGAGCTCCGTCCCGCCGGATCAAGTCCTGATCGGCTTTCGCTGCCACTGTGCAGCAGATCCTCAGAACTCCGAGTTCCTCTGGACCGGGTTCGCCTTTCAAGTGGCCACCGGCCGCGTTGTGCGCCGGTACCACGGCCAACAGCGAGGTTGCCCATTCATGGAAGGGGCAACAATCAGACACAGGGTGTGTCTCCACTGCCGCAACGGGCACTTGCGGTAAACAACTCCCGCCAGTGGGTGCCTCCACCCTAAGGGGCCCCTAGCGGGTAGCACCGCAGGGCGAGCCTTTCGGCTGCCAGCCCTGTGCGCGGGACGCTCCGCCCTACTAGGGGCGTCTCACCCTCTGACTGCGGGATGCCCCGCGGGAGGCCTTCTCAAACCCCAACCTCTAAGGGGGGTGCGAGATTTTTGTAGTCTACAGTAGCCTTAGGCTAGCATGTAGCTGTAGCTTGTAGAGAATTAAGGGGTTTGAGCCAACTGTGCTTAAACTTTACAACCGCAGCCCCTTGAGGCACAAGCGAAGTAGAAAAAGTGAGCCCAATACGCGACCCAACCTCCGCGCATTATTGCCTGGAAAACGCCAGAGCCTGGGGAAGGAGTTCAGGGATTACTTGGAGGGGCAGGGGACTTAGCAAGTAGGTTATAAGTTATAAGTAGAGTTATAAGTACCCTAAATGGAGTTACCACAACTATAACCCTATTAAACAACTTACTAAGTCCCCTGCCCTTCCAAGTAGACCCTAAAGCCTAAACCCATAGATCCCTTAAAGGATCCCTATAGATCCCTCTAAGGACCCCTTTTAAGACGAAGTCCCTCGCCCCTCCAAGTAGAATCGGCGTTGCGAGACTCGGTTCTTGGCTGACGTCAACTAAGGCTTGCGGCTTGGGCTTCAGGGTTCAGGGATTTTGGGTTGGGGATCAGCGTTTGCGGATTTGGGATTGGGGTTTAGGGTTCAGGGATTTTGGGTTGGGGATCAGCGTTTGGGGATTTGGGGTTGGGGTTTAGGGTTCAGGGATTTTGGGTTGTGATTTGGCGTTTGGGGATTTCTGGGTTGGGGTTTAGGGTTTGGGGATGGATTTTGGGTAGAGATTGAGGGATTTGGGATTCTGGGTTTGCAGTTGAGGGTTTGTGTTCTGGGCTTCGTAGGATCCGCACGATCATCCCTACAGCAGCAGAGGTGCTTATCAACCGATCTTCGGTGTCTTTGGTTCAACCGTCACTTAAAGAGGTTTAGGGTTTAATAGGCCATGGGTTTGGGGTTTAGTGGTATAAAGTTTAGGCTCGCAATAAAGAATGAGATGCCTAAGTTTTTGAGCGGTTTAGGGTTTAGTTCCTGCCCTTCGCACCCGGAAAGCCCAGCCACCTTCGTTCGGACTGTGCGCGAGGCTCACGCAGAGGCTAAGTCAGAGGCCACGCACCCGGACGATGGGGTGAGAAGCAGCTAGACCGTAAACCCTAAATCTCAGTAATGCCGAAGTCCGACATCTTGTAAGCTTGTCCCCCTCAGTAGTACCAAAGTCCGCACATCTTGTAATCTTGTCCCTTTCTAGCCCCAGCATACTTACAACAAAACATACCCTATGGACCTGGCCTGTACCGGGGCCCGATCTAGATCCCAAGCCCGACCGCGGGCTGAGGCTTTCGCAATGAATTTAAGCTTTGGGGTTGATTTATAGTAGAAGCCAGAAACTGGGAACATGACTTTAGGAGGATTAGTGCTAGGATCCCTGATACTTTACCTTAAGGGCATGAGGCCATTGATGTTCCAACTTTCTGGCTTCTACCGCAGTGGTTGGCAGTTTGGAGTTTAGGGTAAGGGCTCAGGGTTCCAGATTCAGGGTTCAGAATGTTTTGGATATGTGTGCTTGTTGGGCACTTATGTCTCCTCCAAAGCACTCAATTGCAAAATGCTTCCGAGATCGAGGGTTCAGGGTTCAGATTTGTTAGTCTATGGGCGGAGGAAAGCACATTTTTGTTGGGGTGAGGTGAGGGCAGGGGTAGATTTGTTGTAAAGCTGTGTCGAGACTATGAAGGGGAGACCTCTATAGTATGTGGACGCCTGGAACAGCATTCGGGTAAGTCAATGGGAGACATCGTTTCTGGGGATCACGTGATGTAGGGGCCGCCTAAACAACGGGACTAGATCGCTAAACCCTAACCCCTCCCTCGCAAGTCATGCTGCGCGAGAACATGCTCCTTTTGGAAGAGTCAGTCTCCCAAGAGGGAAGCGAGGTTCCTCGTAGATACATGTTTGCCAAGAACCCTGCACAGTTCGCAAGAGCAGCGCCTCATCCTTGGTGTTCTTCTGGTTGTCTCTTAGGACTTTATAACTTTTTGGGTTTCTGTATTAACTAACATAAGAAGGCTAAAATAGGAGGGGTTCAGAAGTCAGCCAAGCATAAGCCCAACAAAAGCCCGAACACGGTTTAGGGTTTAGGGCTGTTCTAACCATTTTCGCCTCTGCAGCACATCCCTGCGGCTGATGATATAAATCCTGCATTCCCAATAATAAGGATTACCATAATTCCCATAGCTTAGGGCCTAGGGTCCTTAAGGTAATGCAGGATTTAGATCATCAGCCTATACCCTAAACCCTAATACCCTATAGATCTTTAAAGCAGCCCCTTAAAGGTACCCTTATAGATCCCTTTAAAGGAACCCTAGGATTTATACAGTTGTGACAGGTTGGATCCGGCTTTGATCGGCGATTTCAGCCAGCAGGCCGGGTCCCGGGTCCGTAAGGGCCCCAACGGGTCAGCTGCAGGGCTTTTTTAGGGGTTAGGGTTTAGGGTTTAGGAACATACTTATGACGAATATAGGTTCCTGAAAAATTAACCTATACTGTTCCTTAAGGTTCCCTTATGTGGGTGGTTGTCAAAAGTATGGTCTTTTTTTGGGGTCCCTAGTATAGTACGGCACCTAATGTTCAGGGTACCCAAAAAGGAACCATAATTTTGACAACCACCCATTTAGTAGTATAGGGGCCTTAATTAATTAGAACACGGTGTTGGGGGACAGATCGAGCTATTCTGCAAATCAGATGATGTTTAAAGTGGCAATCTGCTATTATAGAACTTAAAGCTGTGATTAGAGAGCTTGTGGACTACGGTCTACACATACTTAGACCATATGGGGGTTTTCGAAAATAGGGGACCCTCATATACTACCCCAATTAGTAGGATCCTTATTATCAGGACCCCTAAATAAGGTACCCCTAATTTTCGGAAACTCTAAACCCCAAACCCTTTATAGAACCATTATAGATCCCTTTAAAGGAACCCTTATGGATCCCTTTAAAGGTCGGAAACTCCCATATACCCGAATGTTACACCTGGAAGCTTCGGGGCTTTCCATGATGTCGGCAGACTCTCCGCTACCATCCTTTACCGCCCCGTGCCCTGAATATCTAATGTAGGAACCTGGTTAAGACACCCTGGGCCTGTATCTCCAAAATAGTAGGAATTCAAGAAATCCTAATAAACGCCCAAGGTTTCTTAATCAGGTTCCTACATTACCGAAACCAACCAAGCCTCTTTTTAAGCTGGCGTTGCATGACACTCGTAAAAGCTGAGCAGAGAGCACGACGCTAAATCCTATAAAACTCATAAATCAAGTACACCTTACAAACCTCACGAACCCCAAACTTTAAGCCATTTACAAACCCCAACCTCCAGCGCCAAAACCTCTACCCCATACGTACACCCTAATCCTTCGTTCAGGAATCTTCGAAAGGAGATAGAAGACTCATCAAGGAAACCCTTAAAACAGCCCCTTACTAGCGGATCATAGGATAGTTACAAGATGTTACAAGTACCTTAGTCAGGGTTATGAGTATTTGAAGGTATAGTTACCCTTTCTCTGAACCCGCTTACTAAGTTCAGGGGATGTTCCTGGTGTCTACGGCGGAGGTGTTCTCAGTAAATAAGAGGATGCCTCCGCGATGTGATTGCTTCGGGAGCAGCTCGGGAGAGCTTGGGGAGTGGGTTGGGAGTTATGTAGTTGGGAGCAGCTGGGGAGTGGGTTGGGAGCACTAAAGAAGATAACTGCTGAAACCGGCACTTGGGCCCCTCCCGAAGCCGACCCGGATTCGAAAGGAAACCAGAACCGCCCTCCCGAAGACGACCCCGCTACTTGCCCAAAAAGAATTCGGACCTGCATCCGGAGGGTCGGGTAGAGGGTTGGAAAAGGTTGGGAGAGGTTGGGAGAGTTGGGTTGGGAGAGGGTGGGAGAGGTGGGAGAGGGTCGGGAAAGGGTTGGGAGTGGGGTTGGGAGGAGGTCGGGAGTGGGTTGGGTGGGAGGAGGTTGGGAGTGGGTTGGGAGTGGGGTTGGCAGGAGGTTGGGGGTCACGAAGACGACCCAGAGAAAGCTGTGACCGAACACCACACTTACGAAGACGACCAAGCAAATATGCATACCCCAACACCCTTTCTTATATAGTGAGAACACCTACTTTGCAGACACCTGAAGAATGCGTGGATAAGTCCCATGACCCCGTAAGTAACCCTGAATCCCCTAAACCCCTGTAGATCCCTGATTATAAGGAGCCCTTCAAGGAGCGCTTAAAGTTACCGAGTCCCATGACCCCTTAAACCAGAAGCCAGAAAGCTGAAGCATCATTATCCTCCTACCCTCTATTGTACCCTGAATAGGCTTTAGAGGTTTAAAATTTGGGGCAAAGTTTGGGGTTTCCCAGGGATTAGAGGTTTAGGGTTTAGCGTCTAGGCTTTAAGCTGGGGACATCTACAGGTTCCTTGTGAATGTTCAGGCTTAGGTTCTATGTAGGGCTGTTCATGAACTTTTAGGGTTTAATGCTTCGAGTGTCTTTCAACCTTAAACACCAATACGGAGTTTACATATGGCCCCTACACGATCGACAGCCAAAGACAGCATCCGTGGCGCGGGTTCAGCAGTTGAGCAACAGGGGACGTAATATAGGGGCCGAAATATCTACCAATACTATTGGGGCGGTTCCTTTGTTTTGATATAATAAAACGGGCCCCAAAACCCTGTTCTAATTGTTAAGGCCCCTGTATTGCTTGGCATGGTTGTGAGCAAGGCAATTACATAGCCATGTCTAAGTCCCTGTGATTAGGCTTGCAGGGTTTATGGGTTTAGGGTTTAGGGGTTTAGGGTTAAGGGGTTTAGGGGCTTAGGGGTTTAGGATTTAGGGGTTGAGGGTTTAGGGTTTATGTTTGGGCCAGAACCTCGGGAACATGGGT